GGCTTCGCCTGAGGGCGTGAACTTGCTCTGCGTCTCTGAAGTGTATCCTGGGCGAGGATCGGGGAAACAACTGATTCTGGTGTTTCTTTTTCCAGTGGAGCTTGCAGTCATCTTCGCTGCAATACTCCCAGTAGACATACGCGTGCCAGGGATGATCAGTCTCTGTTGCGTCTGTCGTTGATAGTTCCCGCTGTCCTCTCACCCATGCACTATCTTCCCTCAGAGGCGTGGAGAACGTGTCTAGTTGCTCCATGGCTCTCCTTTCGATGCGTGGAGTGGGTCTCGCATTTTCCCGTCGGAGCATACCTCTGGCTTTCTCGTCGTACTTCTCCAGGGCTCTCCTGCGGTCCTGGTAGTAAAGTTCGACGCTTTTCATATACTTCAGTTTAGCCATATGCTCGACATCCTTCTCCAGTTCTTCCGCTTCTTGGGCTTCCAACTTAGCTACGTCTGGGGACGTGCCAAGCAGCCTGCGGGTATTCGTTAGTTGGTCGTAGTATCTCCAGAGGTCATCCTTGCAGTCGTCCACCTTGCACTCTAACGGAAGTCCCTGTAACAGGTTCCCGTAGATGCCCTTAAGCGTGGGGATTCTCCTCTGGCCGCTGGGCTTGTCTCGTTCGGCCCTAATCTTCGCGTGGGCGTGTTTTGCCATGCGTCTTACTACGCTCTTGCACCGTGGACTCATTGGTTCCGTAGGTGCGAGCTCGTCGAAGGTCTCCTGTTCCGAGACGGTGAACGATTCCGCCTCCGACCCTTCGTCTGAGCTCTCGTCTTCTGGGGTGCTTTCGCCGTTTATTCCCCAGTCCTGTTTGCTCACAAACGTTGCATTCAACTGTCCTGTCCAGGTGGCATTGAGTTGTTTGCCGACTTTGCGTCTGCCGTTCCCTTTCTTTGGCTGTCTGCAGTCTCGGGCCATGTGGCCTGGCTTGTCGCAGTTAAAACAGAGTCGTTCCTTGAATTGTCTGTCTTTCTTAGGGTCACGGGGTCGTCCAGGTTTGAACGTGGCATCGAGTTCCATTGGGTCCGACCAACGGTTGTCTCGCGGGTGTTGATCCCGTCGTCTGCCCTCGTTTCCCCGGTAGGGGTAACTTTTCTTGGGCTTGTCATAGGTCCGACGTTCCTTCTGGAATTCGTATAGTCGATTGTCGATTCGGACCGTATGTTCGATTAGCGCTACCATGTCCGTTGGTTGTTGTTCCAAACGGGCAAGTTCCATACGTATATGGCTCTTCAGCCCACGTCGGTAGTGGCTGATGAGTGCGCTGGCGTCCCATCCTGTCTGATTGCCGTATCTCTGGAATTCTGTGGAGTACGTGAGGGCGCTGCCAGTCTGCTTAAGTGCAAACAGATGGTCTTCTGCGGTCTTAATCTCATCGATGTCTCCGAACATGCGTCGGATTTCCTTACAGAATCCATTCCAGCTGCCAAACATAGTCTGCGTAGTTGTCATGCTTCCATTGGTACTTTCATATTTGAAATAGTCCTTGAGGAATGGTTCGATCCATCGCAGGGCTTCCCCCCTAAGGTAGGACGCAGTCCACAGGGCATAGCTCTCCTGGGTGGGAAACTTCTCATCATTGAAGTGCTGGTACAGTTCGACCTGTAGCAAAAACACCTCAAGTTCCTTTCGGTTGCCGGAGTAAGTGTCGGGCAACTTGACGCGTAGAGTTTCCTTGAGTTCGTTGACGGTGGGTGCATCGGGCATCTCTTCATTCTCAGGCTTAGACCTCTGAGACGAAGTTGGCGTGGTGGGGGTTTTCCCCTTCGAACTGACGACAGACATGTTGCTTTGTGTGTAAGCCGGTACCTCGTAGAAGTGGTGCTCAAAGTGTAACGCTGACTTCTAAATGATAGAAGACACAGAGGTTCTCTTGCGTAAAGGTTTACTTATCAGAGGAGGCAGGGGATCAGACACAAAGGCTTCAAGTAACACGTTACTAGTATATAACAAATACTGTATTGAGTTGAGCACGAAGCTCCTATCTAAGAACTAACTATCTACTTATATAGTGGCGTCGTGCCTAGTGGACTCCTGGGAACTCACTCGAGTCCTCGGAGTCCTGGACTCTTAGGATTCTTCTCATCATCCTGCGAGTCCGTCACGTGCCTAGTGGACTCCTGGGAACTCACTCGAGTCCTCGGAGTCCTGGACTCTTAGGACTCTTCTCATCATCCTGCGAGTCCGTCACGTGATACTTTCGGAACTACTATTCCCCGCTGCCCCTCCAGGTACCAGGGCCGGTCTCATGCGACCTCCCTCCTTCCTGTCCTGTAGTTGGCCAGCCTTCTTGTTCCGTCGTAACACTTAGCCACCAAGGCTACAACCGCTAAGCGGACAACTGTATATCAACAGCTTTCCATCCCTAAACAGACGGTCGAACAGAAAGACTAAACTAAACCCTTGAACAATACCTACAGAGTTATGTCAACCACTAACAGGACAATTGGGTTTAGATATTACCCATCGCACAGTTCGCATATAACAGCGCGATGACTGAAGCAACAAAAGTCTTACCATTCTTTGCTAATTACGGCTATTAGCCAGAGGCATATGACAACCATGACCAGATGAATCAAGAGCAGAACAAGCTATGATTGCCGTGGAACAACTCAAATCATTCCATGAACAGCTCGCAACAGATATACAATTCTTAAATGAACGATCTGCTGCATATGTAAACAAGAAGTGCAGTATAGAACCTGCCTTTAAGGAGGGGGATAAAGTATATCTACTCCGGAAACATATCAAAACGAAATGACCAAGTACGAAGTTGGACTTCAAGAAATTGGGACCATTCAAAATATTGAACAGGCTGCAGCTACCTAAGAAGTCTAGACTACACCTAGTATTTCATGTCTCACTACTAGAACTAGCAAGAGGAAACACCCCGATTGCGACCGACACAGAACTCCAACTAGAAAATGAGATCGTTAAATACGAAGTCGAAGCGATCATAGACAGAAGGTTAGTAGGATGCAAAGAAGAGTTTTTGATAAAATGGAAAGGTTTTCAATACGGTCTGCAAGAAGATGACGTTCTTTGATTTTTGTGTGTCTACTGGAAGACATGCCAAGCAGTGCAACCTGCTTGGCAATTAAGTAGGCATCACCCTACTTAAGTAAACTAGCGATTTCCTTAATTAGCAAGACCTAAGGGACTAGGCCTTTAGGAGGGGACCTAGTGTTACAGCTATGGTAACATGACGTTAGTTACAGGGCTAGCGGAACTAGGCTTAGTAACATAACCTAAGAAGTCACAGGGCTAGTGGGGCTAGGCTATAGCATGACAACCTAAGATCACAGGGCTAGTGGGGCTAGGCTGTAGCGTGACCAGGCTAGTAGATAGTTGTAGAAACTAGTGGATATTAGATAGTTGAGCTATTCATCAACTATCTAGATTATCTGGCTATCCATCAACTATCCAGATTACCCCGCTACTATATAAGTAGATAGTATTCCCTTAGATAGGAGCTTTGTGCTTAACTCAATATAGTATTCTTTACAATACTGTAACGTGTTACTTGGAAAGCCTTTGTGTCTAATCCCCTGCCTCCTCTGTCAAGTCAACCTTACGCAAGAAACCTCTATGTCTTCTATCGTTTATGTAAGGATGCCTCCTTACCTAGATGCTTGAAGAACCCGCCTCAGAGCTGTTACGGTCACCACAAGCATGAAATCCGACTCGGTGTGATTTCAGACCAGTAGAGGAGCACATAGCGAGTTACACTATAGTGGGGGACGGTAAGGGTGTAGGGTTCAGGGTTGATGCGGACCTGTTGTGGTGGAAGGTTCAGGGCTAGAACCTTTGGGATAACCGAGTCGGGCCCGTTTCTGTAAGGACACAGGGCACCCAGCTCACAGTAATAGCATATGAGAGTGCGAGTCGGAGGCTAAACGGATGCTATCCTATAGGTCTACTACGAAGGATACAAAAAAGATGAAGAGAGGAACCCCCGTTGAGTCAATCTCCTTAAGTACCCGAAACGGGTCCGACTCGGATAACCTACCCTAATGCTCCCCACGTGACTGTAACCTGCCCGACTCCGATGCTTTCCATCACTGAGGGCTTTGGCATCCTTACAGTTTCGGGTACTTAAGGAAACAGACTTAACGGGGTTCCCCCTTCATCTTTTTTGTATCCTTCGTAGTAGACCTATAGGATAGCATCCGTTTAGCCTCCGACTCGCACTCTCATCTGTGAGCTGGGTGCCCTGTGTCCTTACAGTTTAGAAGTTAGCGTTACAGTCATGTTATAAGTAGTCGATTTGCCATATCTTTAACAATAGACAACTAAGGAAGAAACTCTTTAGTAGCTAGGTTGAGTATGTATTAAACAAGGACTGATTCCTCTAGGTTAGCTATTTCTGTAAATTGGCTATAATATCACGTTGTGGTTACATACCTTAGAAGCTTGCCCTAACTCGAGGCTGACATGACAAATTCGATCTTGCTGCAGAGAGAACGACTAGAATCCCAGACATTAGACCCTAAGAAACTCTGCTTAGTCACCAAAACTTAGTTTAGCGAGCTGGCATCATTATGGCTTAAGCTCTAGTCATAGATTCGAAATAAAATCATCATCGCCCCATGCTGATACGGCCCCTACCCGAATGTGCAACACTGTGTTATCGGGCTCGAGCTGTCCCATGGCTCTCACCGAACTAGGGGACTCAACCATGGTTCTCACAATTCTGGTGAAAACTCTACAGCGGAAGGGGCGGCTTACTCGGAAGCCTCGGGGGTTACTGGGAGTTATTTAGAGCCTATAAAAAGTATGCGTAGTTCCACTAGAATAGCAAAATCAATTGTACCATTTTACTCTCAATATTTCGGTCCTCCTGCAACAGACTGGTGGGGGACCGTGGGTTATTTATTGGCTTCGGACCAGACCACGGTCTGGTCCGAAGATTTGGGACCGGACCGGACCATGGTCTGGTCTGGGGTCGGTACCGACTACCATTGATATAGATTCGTTATATATATCCCCGCAAATATCCCATATATATTTCCATATACCATACATACATACACTATCATGTCTGCCTCCCCTATCGAAACCAGGCTATTCATCAATGGCGAGGTGCGACATAGGTTCCATTTAAACCTTCAGTTCGAACCCCCAATCCCATCCGTAGCTAACCCCCTTGTCCTCTCCTCCAGTTCCAAGCCATTGATGAGTCTCAAACTTTTGACCTACATTCGCCTTCCACCGGCGAATTCATAGCCAAAGGTACTGTGCATCGCATGCCCGGACCCTGCTTCTTCACTCTTACCCGTTTACGTATCTTGGTCCATACTAATCGGCCACAGTTCCTGAAGCAACCGCTAAAGATGTAGACGCCGCCGTCGCCGCAGCCAAGGCTGCCTTCCCAGCTTGGTCCGCCCTCTCCCCCAAAGAGCGCAGCGTCTACCTATTCCGTCTCGGTGTCCTCTTCGCCGAGCACTCTGGTGAGCTTGCACGGCTCGAGGCAAAGTCGATGGGACGTCCAGTCACCTCATTTTTCGATGCTGGCGCCGCTTCGGACTACTTTCGTTACTTTTCTGAGGCCGCCTATCCTATGGGTACCTCCAGCCTTAACACCCCCGGGTTCGTCAACATGGGCGTGAAGCAGCCATATGGTGTCTGTGGGATCATCATCCCATGGAATGCGCCGCTGATATTTTTCTCAAAGAAAGGAGCTGCAGCACTGGCAGCGGGTAATACCGTGGTACTGAAGAGCAGTGAGAAGGCACCTTTAACCGCAAGTTGCTCCCCTTAGAAGGTAGGACTAGCTAAATTTACATAGTGCGCGAAAGCTGCCGAGCTTGTGGCGAAAGCCGGCTTCCCGCCGGGAGTGTTCAACATCCTCTCAGGACATGGCGAAGCTGGAGCCGCGATGTCGTCTCACATGGACATCCGCATTATCTCATTCACAGGTAGCACGCGTACAGGGCGCGCTATCCAGAAGGCTGCTGCGGATTCGAACTTGAAAAACTGCATTTTCGAGCTCGGTGGAAAATCACCAGCGTTAGTTTTTGAGGATGCAGATATCGAGCAAGCAATCCAGGCGACTGTGCCGAGTATTGGATGGAACAGTGGGCAGACGTGAGTTGTCTTCCCATTCCTGGAGGCCCCCACGGACCACTGCCGCGGTAACTAACGGGATACATAGATGTTTTGCGAACTCAAGAATCTACGTCCACAAATCAATCGCCCAAACCTTCATAGAAGGATTTAAAACCAAATTCATGAGCGCCAAGCTCGGCGACCCAACACAACCAGGCACAACCCAAGGCCCCCAAGCCGACAAAGTCCAACACGAAACAGTCAAGCGCTATCTGGCCCTGGCTGAAAAATTCGGCACCAAAATCACTGAAGACCTCCCTAACGTCTCCGGCCTCTACATTTCCCCCACCATCTTCACCGACACCCCCGAAGACGCACAGATCATGAAAGAAGAGATCTTCGGACCTGTAGTGCACATCAACACCTTCGAGGGCGAGGCAGAGGCTATTGCCAAGGCGAATGATACAGAGTACGGACTCTATGCATCGGTGTTCACCAAGGACATCGACCGCGCGATGAGGGTTAGTAAGCAGCTGGAGGCGGGGACGGTGGGGGTGAACTGCTCCAGCCCGACGAAGGGGAATGATATGCCGTTTGGAGGGTGGAAGGGGAGTGGGATTGGGAGGGAGGGCTATATTGGGGGTGTGGAGAGCTTTATGGAGGATAAGGCTGTGCTGATTAAGGTGGCGCCGCTGTAAGAACGGAGGGGAGTTGTTTTAAGATGTTCCTCTGAGACATCGGTCCAAACTCTTGTCGATCTGGTTGTCAATCGGACTCTATCCCCATCTCGATGGGCCTTTCACACAGAGTCACCAATAGACTTCAACGACAGTATTTATTAGGCATATACCTCACAGTTTTCGTAACTGCAACTATTATTCACATAAACTCAGTAAACATGCTCTAATCGTTGTAGTAATTCCTTACATGGTACTCCAGCTATCGTACGTACGCTGCATAATTTAGTCAATGCCACCACCCACCCACATAAACTACTCGATCTCCTCAATCCTTGGGCCTGGGCCTGGGCTTGGGCTAGGAGCCGCACTTCGCGGACCTGAAGACAAACCCCGTAGTGACCCAAACTGTAGCCCCAAGTTGATGTCCAGATTTCTTTCAATACTAGGTCCAGAAAACTCATTCATCTGCCAATCTTTCAACTGCTCCAGCGTCTCCGTGGCATGTTGCCTCACCAACCCATCATTATCTGTCTCGGATATGTAAAGGAATATCCTCGTCACATCAGCCAGACTCTGGCCTGCAAATCCAATTCCTATATCCTTGCCGGCCTCCCTCGCCGAGCTAATAGCGTTAACGAGCGCCATAACGACCATAATTGCCGAACGTCGCAGAATAGCCTTTTCAGGCTCCGGCTCAAGGGGTAGCATATTGATGGCGAGGTCCACTCCGCCACCAACAATAGCAGCACCAATACCAGCGACATTCGAGTCAATGGCAGAGGCAAAGATAGACAGCGCAGATGCACGAATACGGACATCTTCTTCGTCGCGCTTACCCTCCCAGCCCTCAACAATCTGGTTCAGAAGCGCATCCACCTCAGGATCGTGATCTTCAGGAATATCATCAAGCTGTGGCACTAGCCCTCCCCAGGCTTCTTTAGCAGCTTTGTTTTTGCGCTCCTCGGCCGCACGTCGCTTAGTCTTCTCTTCTTGCGATTTAGGGCGATGACCCCGCCGACCTGCAAGTGCGAGAAGCCCTTCACATACGTGGTGGGCCACGTCTCCCGTGAATGCCTCGCCCGCCTTCTCGATAACCTGCGAGAGGGCTTCACCGAGTCTCAGGCGCGTGTCGAGGTTCAGATCTTCGTTGGCGTCGAAATATCGCTCGAGGATGCCGTTCAAAACGGTTTTTGGGTGTGTTATAGATAGCTGAATAAAAGATTTGATGACTCGGAGGTAAATGTATTCTTCTTCATCCTGGACAAGGGATGATAGCAGAATCATCGCCGCTGGGACATCGATAATAGGGCTTCTTCCTGTTATTATTGTCGTCAAGAGATCTAACCCTTCCGCTCGTACAGGCGCCGGCGAGTCTGGGGACGTAATGTAGCCAGTAGCTAGCTTGTAAGTACGCCTGTCCTCTAATACTCGCTCGGAGACCGTTGGAGGCGGGACATCAAATGCGTCTGGCTCTATCAATTTGAAATCTAACAACATTAACAGATTTTGGGCTGTTGTTGACGACTCAGTTTGTGCCTCCGCCGTGGTGGCGAGCGCATCTTTTATTGAAATGACGAAACTTGGGTTCATGGACGACGCTTTGAAGGATGGAGAAGTGAACACCATATTCAGTAGGCTCAGCGCTATGGCGACGGTATCATCGTTTTTCATATCTTCTCTTCGATTGGCTCGAAGGAGAATATTGCAACTCAGTTCTAGAACTTGCCCGGATTCCTCAACGAGCCTGTCTGGTACAGTTTCAATGAGGCCTTGAAGCAATTTGGCATCTATTATCTTTTCCTCGAAATTTCGTGGTGGGCGAGATCCAGGGGTCGACATTACGAGTTCTGATTGGGCAAGTCCGTCCTCTTCCACCAGCCAGCGTCTACATATTGCGATAAAAAGGTTTGATATGCCGAATGCATCACTCGTAGAAGCCAACTTGACAACGTCCAAGAAAGCATTAACTTTGAAGTCAATCGACTTGTAATCGACAACTTTGTTGATATTGAGGAGTTTTCCCATAGGTTCATCGTCCATCGGAGTAGCTTTCTCAATGCGAATACCCCCTGTTGGAGATTCGGCATATTTCCATCGCATTAGCCTCCCGCCGTGGGTTCTTGTGGACATCAAATTATCAGCTATGCGGATCAGCTGGGCTCCGTCAACTGAAAGCTGAAGAATAATATGCAAGAGAAATCCAGCCGGCGCACGATACTCTTCCAGTTCGTTGTCCTTTGCTGTCCATGACGCGAGCGACCACAATGGAAGCACAATGTTTCGTAGAAGTCGTCTTGACAGACCCGGGTTCGGATGTGAGCTGATTAATGAAGCAAGTCTCCGGAGCCCATCTGTCAGCTCAGCTGGAGAAGAAAGAATACTCCGCCCCACTCTTGTTTCACTATCGCCCTTGGCAAGAGACCGACCCTGGCTGGGATCAATACTTCTTAGAATGGGCTCCGCCAGGAGCTGCCATCCTGGAGCGTCTGCACCAATTTTTAGAATCTACTTCTACCAAATATTCGGATTGCTACTTACCTGGGGGCGCGCCAAACTGAGGTCTCCCGAGAATCCCATATCCAATTACGTAGGCTGCCACTTTAACCATATCGAGCCCTCCGTTACCATCCAGCAATGAGAATAGTTGGGGAGCAAGGTGCTCAAACCAGTAGTATGGCGCCACGCCTTGTGGCGGAGAGCAGATCAACTGCGTAGCAGAGGTGAGTGCTTCCGGTGAAATTTGAGGACCTTTGGATCTTGCCTCCTGCCCTTGCGTCTGAGAGGTGGTAGCGGTGGTTGGATGCACAGAGAGTACAAATTCGATTGTGCTACGGACACCTCTTGGTCGAAGTGGGAAAAATGCTAGCGCACGAGAAATATGAGGATGAAGCCATGGCTTCACCCTGTCAGGTTTGACAAGTGAGACGAGAGCCGGAAGTAGAACATACGCAGCCGTCCTATGAATGGTTAGCTGTTGGTACCGGGGCAGAGCGGGTTCAATCTTCAAACCTTTCGAGAACAGTGTCAAATTCCTGGATCCCTGCTTCAGCTGCTTCTTTTGATAGCTCGGGATCGTGTGCTGCCTCTCCAAGCCTGATGATGTCTTCCTCCAAAGCGAGGGTAGCTTTGCGGTCGATGGGTGCCATGTCCCCAGGATGGGCGGCCAAAAGTAGTCGCACCTGGGTTAAATGCTGGGAGAGAAAATGATGGGAAAATAAATGGATATTTTGAGCCGGCTGTGGTGTTTGTTGATACAGTAATTTGTAGCTCTGGTGCAGTATGATGGTCTGATAGGAACTGACGGAGACAAGAATTCAAAGCGATTACTTGGTAATATAATCAGCAACTGTGGGTTCTGGTATAGTGCTGTAGAAAAAGAATAATTTGGATGAGATTTAGATTGCTACCTTGTATATGATTAAAGAATAGGAAATATGGGAATGTAGATAGAGTAAAAGTGGTCGAACCTGTCGTCATGTCGTGTGAAGTTCACGAGGCTGAAGCCTCGCGTTGTCAAATCCCCCACACGTCAACATACCGACCACGACCCCACATATGCGCAACGACAGTTAGATTCACCTCTGTGCACACTGCGATACTCTCCAACCACCCAGCAGAGACGATTCAGTCCTCTCACAAACGATGACTACCGACCTCAATGATGCGGCTGCGTCTCTCTCCCTCACAAGTCCCCCGGGACCAGACGACCTCTCCCCTCTCGAACAGGACGTCTTGGAGGAGTATGAGCGCCTGGCTGACAATATGAAGAAGGTATGTATTAATACCGTTCAGTATCTGTCTACCTATGCTAATATAACATGCAGCTCGCATCCCTCCTTGACGGATTAGCAGGCGCACCGACCGCTGAGATTCTGGATGGGCTTCTACAGCTGGAACGCAAGACGAGCTTGGTGTTTACGCTGCTCAAGGCGAGCGTGTACAGTATTGTGCTACAGCAGGAGATTTACTCTGGCGATCAAGGTGCTGGACAGGATCAGTAAGGGCTGCTTATGGAGATTGGCTCCTCTGGGAAGGCGTGTGAGCTGAGGGAAAGGGAGTTATGGTGTTAAGGATACCCAGGATTGCTGGTGCGAGAATGAATAAAGGCACGAAAATAAATGACCGGGCAGCAGTGGCTTCTTATCTTATATATACTACAAATTCGCTATACAGTACCAAACCTATCAGTACACTGTCCCAGACCTCAAGTCCCTTTCTTTACACTTCAGCATCATCCGTCCTCTGCCTTTTGGGAAGTTGCTGGTCTCCTCCATAATAAACCTTCCGCACATCGATTAGCTTCTTGCCCAACCCACGAGCAACCTCATCCGGGATCCTCTGGTTCATCAACGCCTCGTATGTGGCTTTGGCCGTGTTCATTTTGTTCCTCGCGAACGGGACACGCGCAGCCACGTCTCTGATACCAGCAGCGCGACACATTTCGAAGATAAGGTATTGGCAGCGGAGTCCAAATCCTGGGAACAAAATTAGCACCGCATTGGAAAAGGCGAGACATAAAGGTTGTCGTAGGAGCACTTACCAGGTGGCCTCGACATCAACTGAACCCTCACAGCCGAAACTTTCGCCTCAACTTCGCCAAATATCGTCCTATCTTCGTAGCGCGGGATCGGCTTCATGTTTTTGATAGCGGCCATGCGAGACTGATTCAATGAATCTACCATTTCTGCAGACTTCCCCTCTCCCAATCCAAGCATGCCATTCCCATTGCCAGCAATAGACAACGAATAAAAGCTCTGTACTCGGCCTAAACGTGTCATATTCACAACTCTATGAGCCACGATATTCTTCACGTCCAGGGCCAAGATATCATCAAGGCTCATTCCAGTCTGCCTCCTCACTTTGTCGTAGGTACCGGTAGGGTCGCGTTTGTCGACAAGAGTCGAGTTCTGGTACATCCCTACCATGCTCGGAACCTTTGGAAGGGCAGGCGCAAGGACGTCGGACCCAAACTTGCCGCCGCCTGTCATCGATGGAGTTTCATCGATGAACTTCTGCAGGTCTAGCCGCGTTATGGGCACAGCATTGGGCTCAGTCAGACCCTGTAGTTCTTTCTCCTCCGTCATCTTCCCCAGCCATTCGTTGACCTGATCAAACCGCTCTGTCTCATTTAACCAGCGTGCGCCTTTAGGAACAGTGCTCGGGGCCTTGGGTATTTTGTCCAGAGTAGGGCGAAGGACAGAGAAGTCGTCGAGGTATTTGAATGCGTAGGGGTCGTTGCGGACGACACCTTGGCTGCGGATATCTTCGAGGTCGATTGCCTCCTCGCCAGCGGCGATGACACGCATTTGATCGGGGGTGTATCTTTTCGACAGGTTTTGCTCATCTTTCTTGGTGTAGCTCTTCAGCACCTGGCTTGTGGGAGCCTGAGATAGCAATCCCATATCCTCGGCCTTGACACTAGCAAACCGACGACGACGTCGGCCCGGAAGAGACTGGGTCGTTGAGAAATCTCGGCATTGGACCATTGGTCGCGCCTTCGCAATTGACGATGCGGAGGAGAACACACATCGTGCTGGGCGTGAGACGCTCATCATGAACACCGCGGTATGAGGCGGCTTTTTTTCTCGGCTTCCTCCCTGAGTATACGAGGTTGTTACAGCCGCCGTACCTTTGGCGATAAATTTAAGTTGCCGCAACAATGTTTATCCGGCGCCGAATTGGCCTCGAAATTATTTTGAAATAGATGTACTCTGATTCGATATTCAACTCTCAATGTACAAGCTTTCCAGGGCAATTTCTAGGAATCTGTTTATACCATTGAGGACGGTAAGACAATTTAATTACCGGTCAATGGAGATTGAACGAAAGATTGCGCCGGCGGGCGCCGAGAATCGCAAGAGAGACCACCAAGGTGGTCGCGGGAACCAAGGCGGCCGTGGAAATAAGAGGCAGAAGACACAAAAACAAAAACCAGTCAAGGAAGGATCAACAGAAGAGGTGTTGTTGGCAGATGTGACGGACCTCTTTTCGAGGCAGCGACTGGAAGACCCCAAGCATGGCGAAGCTAGCATCGCAGAGGGCGAGTCAGAATCGAAGACGAGCCTACCAGCACCATTCACAGAACTCGATGTGAAAGTGTTGGAGATATCATCTACGGGCGATGGGTTGGCTGTAGCCCCTGGCTCAGACCAGATTTACGTCGTCCCATTCACGGCACCAGGCGACATTGCGCGAGTCAAAGTCATCAAGCATTTTGAGAAGCACCACTACTCTCTCGCCGATTTCCTCAGTGTCGTCGAGCCATCACCACTCCGAGACGATAGTCGAATTGGCTGCCAGTATTTCTCCAAATGCTCGGGCTGCCAATTCCAGATGCTTGATTACCCCGCTCAACTAGACCACAAGAAGTCCATCGTCGAAAAAGCTTACAAGAACTTCTCACATATTCCAACAGAGCTGGTACCCGCTGTTCTAAATACGATGGGCAGTCCATTACAATACAACTACCGCACGAAGCTCACGCCCCATTTTGACGGGCCGCCAGGATATAGGAGTCGCGCCGATGCAAGGGCAGGCATTAAGAAGGAATTCGAGAAGACCCCAGAGATTGGCTTCATGCAGAAGAATCGCCGCATAACTCTGGACATTGAGGACTGTCCGATCGGCACTGACGCCGTTAGAAAGGGAATGAAGAGCGAGCGCGCCCGCGTAGCCGTCGAGCTGGACAAGTACAAGCGTGGTGCTACGATTCTGCTCCGCGAGTCCACTCAGCGAGTGCCCAACTCCGAACTCCCGTCGCCCATCCCGGAGAACACAATCGCTGTCCCAGTCGAGGGCACCGAGACTACAGATCTCAAAACATGCATCACTGACAATAACGCCACCTCAACCGAATACATTGAGGACTTCACTTTCACAAACCCCGCTGGTGCTTTCTTCCAGAACAACAACTCTATCCTCCCACCATTTACACAGTACATCCGCGAAAACATTATCCCCCCCGTTTCCTCGAGCGAACTGCCAGTCAAGTATCTAATCGACGCCTATTCCGGCTCTGGCCTCTTCACCATCACCCTCTCCTCCCTCTTCGAATCTAGCACCGGAATCGACATCTCCATTGATTTCGCCTCCAAGAACGCATCTCTCAACAATATCCCCGAGTCCAAAGCCTCCTTTCTCGCCGCCGACGCTCCTGAACTCTTCAAATCCGTTACATACCCAGCCGACGAAACGGTGGTGGTAATTGACCCGCCGAGAAAAGGCTGTGATGATAGTTTCCTCAGACAGTTACTCAGCTTCGGCCCAAGGAGAGTGGTCTATGTGAGCTGTAATGTTCACACGCAAGCTCGTGATGTGGGTGTTATGGTACACGGGTACGTTAATGGAAAGGATGGGCATGGAGGGTTGGGCAGGAGGTATAAGATTGAGAGCATCAGAGGGTTCGACTTTTTCCCCCAAACCGGGCACGTAGAGGGTGTTGCCGTGTTATCGAGGATTGATGAGCATGAGCCTCTGCCAGAAATCCTAGTTACGGATGTAAGGGGGGGGGTGGAAGAGAAGCTGGGCGCAGATGTGGCTGATGCAGAGGGTATCATCGCAACTGGTGCAGTTGAGGGTGTGAAGCCAACAAGCGATGCATAATTGTCTCGTTGATGTATAATATAGACAAAGAGGACAAGATAAATAACTACTATGACAACATGCCTACCACCCCTTTACGCTTGATCAAATTCCCTGGCTCCAGACCCAGGTTATGCAGCCGCCGCCAATTGAAGTGACTTCGTGCCACTATCCCCCAGCAGCTTTTGCAGCGCTTCTACTGCTATTTCCAAGACCTCTTGGTTCCGACTCTTCCTCGCGCACTCTTTGAGCGCCTCCACACCATCCGCCTCTTTCACTTTCGCAGCGGCCTTCTCGGCTCCATCTCCCGGTGCATTCAACATGTTCGACACACACACGACTCCCCTGTGCCTCAAATCTTCTTCATCCTCCTTGCACAACTTAAGCAATATAGCTACACCACGCTCGCGTCCCAGAATAGCAGTAACGGCAGTATCCCACTGCGTCAAGCTGGCTAGCGCACCGCCTGCAGCTCGCCGAGTCGCGAGGTCCTCCGAATCAGCCAGAGCAAGTAGAATGTGCAGTCTATTGCTAGCCTGTTTGCTCCCGTCCGCAAACTTAGCGACGCCGATGGGGCTCTCCATCAGATTGCAGACCAATTCCACTGAAGCTCGTGTAACCAGAGTGTTGTTCGACAAGAGGAGCTCGTCGATACTAGACCAACCATCACGGATAATGGGATCTCGCGCATCGTTGTCGACAGACGCGAGGTTCGTGAGCGCAAGGAGCGCTTCGAACGCAGGGAGCAAATCCCGTATCTCAGTCGTTGGATCATCAGATAGGAGAGATATGAGTGGCCGGATCGCTAGATTGAGTGGATGCGGATTTGAGCCACCAAAGATGTGGATTGGATTCGTGGATATGAGAATTCTCGCAAGCGCATGCGCTGTCGTCCTCTTAGCGTTTTGGTCGGTCTCGGGAAATTGGTTGTATGCTTGTAATAGTAGCTTCACTCCGCCTTGCTGTGCAATACGCCCGCGTAGTTCGGAAGAGCGGGATATGGACAGCAGAATCTGGACGATGAGCTTTAGGGATGCCAAAGAGCCTTGTACAGAGTGAGACACAAGGACAGGTATAGCCTCTGCCTTGAAAACGGCATTGCACCTGGCGGCGACATGAGCATCACTATTTAGAGGGTCTGCCTCATGAGATAGGCGAGAGGCATTGGCGTAGGCTTTCAGTTGAGTTATGCGTTTTTGCTCTTCTGTTAGCGACGGGAGGTAGGTGGTGAGGTTGACGAGGATGGAAAGGCCTCCATAGGTAGTAGAAGACTTTGGAGGGCTGGTCTCGAGAACATGAAGTATGCTCTTGAGAAATGCTGGGTCATTGGCAATCTTCTCCTTTACCACCGGTTGCAAAGAGGCGTATGCAAGGCCTTCTATTGAACCTTTGTGGAGCGACTCGTCGCTAGTGGTAAGGTATTGATTGAAGATATCTGTTAGTTCGTCGATGTTTGTCACTGCTGGCTGTATTTTTTCTTTCGAATCAGCTGCTGGAGCCGACGGGACAGCCTGGAGACCGAGTTAGCTTATCTACTTGTCATGTTTGGATACAGTAATGCAGGTAGCTTACCTGGAGCTTGGCCAATATAACAGCAGCCAAATTCCTGACGGCAGGTGTATGCAGGCGCTGCTGAAGAGGCCCATCCTCAACAACAGCATATCTGTCCGACTTATGCAAGTCGTCTATAGCCTTAGGCGCCTCGACCACGATCTCCTCCAGCCATTCCGTGCAGTACTTCTGAATTGCCTCGCGGCAAGCACCATGCATGCAAGCGACATTGAGCATATCAAGACACGCCTGTTCCACTTTCTTGCTCTTCCATTTTCTCTTTATTAAAGGGCCCAGGCCATAGACAAACCCAGGGCTAAGGAAGAGCTCAGCAGACACATCTGGTATGACTGGAAATGTACACGCCGCAACTGAGAATGCGATGATGAAGTCGTCATATGTGCCCTTCTGCACTTTTTCCTTGAAAAATTGAGTTAGGAAATTGACACCCTGCTCACCAGAAGCTTTAAGATATGCTGAGAGTGTCATGGTTGCATGTCCCCGTATGGCATCTCCTTGTCTCATATCCAGATAGGCGGCAAGGGTGTCGAAACAGTCGGCATCGATGAGAGGCGCCAGCTCTTCTCCCACCGGGGGATTACTCTTGTCGTCTCTGCTCAAGAGACGTGTTAACGCATCGAGAGTAAGGCATGTCTCGTCGTCATCCTGCCCACCCTCGACGAGACCGGCGAGCACAACCAGAACCTCATCACTAACTGATTCGGATCTGCTAAAGTCGACATTTGGCCCAGCCTTGACGGTGGGTTGCCGCGGCGGGGGAGTAGCTGCATCAGACATATTCCGATTGCTGCTTTATGTAAGGTCCATAGTTGATATGAAGGGATACAAAGGAGAGAGAGAGAATTAAGATGATGGGCGAATATGGCGGGGCACTTTCTGCCCCTCTTATCGTAGCTCTTTAGTCACATGCCAGGGCGTCATCAAGGCGATGGCTGACTGGGGTCCGGAAATGGAAATTCGCGGTCGCCTCTCCAAAAAGTCCAAAAAGTCGCGCTCTACGCATGCAAATCAAGATTGCATGGCTGTCGCAGGCGACGGAACCAATTTTGACGATATAACGTTCTTGCGACCTATTAATCTATTTACAATCCCCGGATGCCATATGAGAGAAACTAAAAAGTAGTCGACGAAACGGCTCTGAGCCACGGCAACCCTCGTGGACAGCCTGAAGTCGGCTTGGAATCTGTTTGCGGATCCTCCTACAGGACAGGCCTCAAGGCTCCAAGTCACCATGAACGCCGTTGATGGATCTGATCACTATGAGCGGACCATAACTGGTACTATATTCCTTTCTGGGTGGGTGCCAGTACTAACCCTTCGCCAGAGGAGTCCCCATCACTTCTAACAATCGTTCTCGACACGAATCCACACGCCTGGGCGCTCCTCCATGACACCCTACCTCTTTCCAAAGCCGTCGCTAATCTTATGGTATTCATAAATGCCCATCTAGCCTTCAACAATGCCAACCAGGTGGCAGTTGTCGCGAGCCACAGCCATCGTGCGGCATGGCTCTACCCCCGCCCTCCCAATGCGCGCGGGGCTGGAGAAGATACAGTGATGACCGATGGGTATGATCGCATGACCAAGGCCCCAAACGATGCGAACAAGTACCGCCCATTTTCTCTTATCGAGCACGACCTTCTCACTTCCTTGCGAGAGCTCATCGACTCGACGACTACAGAAGACGTCTCCTCCACAACCACTACTCAAATGGCTGGGGCTCTGACCCTCGCGCTTTCATACTCGAACAAGGCCACAGTGACTTACAACGAGTCCGGTGTCTCTTCCAGCGGCAAGTCCCATCCCGACGGAGGTGAGAATCCCACAGATGATGTCCCCCGAGGGCTCCTGTGTCGCATTCTCGTCATCTCAGTATCAGGAGACTTAGCACATCAATACATCCCCATCATGAACACCACATTCGCGGCCCAACGACTGCGGATCCCAATCGATATTCTCAAGTTGTCAGGAGATACTGTGTTCCTGCAACAGGCTTCCGACGCCACGAATGGAACCTACATGCAACTACGCAACCCTCAAGGCCTCCTTCAATCCCTTATGCTCGGCTTCCTTCCGGACCAGAGCGCGCGAACGCATCTGATATCTCCAACACAGGAGGTAGTGGACTTCAGAGCGGCTTGCTTCTGCCACAGGAATGTGGTGGACGTTGGGTTTGTATGCAGCATTTGCCTAAGCAGTACGCCCTTCCCCTCATACATAGAAGGCACCGCTAACATGCGTAGTATTCTGCTCGCCCCCCGAAGGCGCGATTTGTCTTACATGCGGCACACATCTCGCCCTCGGCAACTACGGCGCAAAACCAGCGGTCGTGCCAAGGAAAAAGAAGAAGAAGAGGAGGGTTGTTAATGGCACCGAGTCTGGTTCAAATGTTGGGACACCAGTGCCCCGCGAATAATATGTATTTTGTACTCGGTTGTCCTATAATAGGCAGGTTATAAAACGATATCAGGACGTTACAATGATGCACAGTGGGTAATTAAACACAGAATGTGTGGAAGTATATGACTATAATCATTCAACTCAAGATCTAGCTAACTAAGTAATCAAAACGCCAGATCCCTGTTACCGAGAGCCAATTCTAGAAATGACTGTCCTCTAATAAATGTTTCCTCGGCCTTGGTTGATGATATAACAGAAAGAAATACGGTCCAGTGTTGATACAATGCTCCTTCTTCACAGGCTCCCAACTCCTTCAAAGGCTCCTCCGTCACCAAAGGCTCTCTCCTTCTTCAAAGGATATCCCACGCTTCGGTTCTCTGATTCTGCCGACAGCCAGACTGAGAGACGATTTGCAAGAGGCTCAGCGCATTGTGCAGCTGATCTACCCTTCCTTCCATCTCTCAGGGCCTTTACTAACTCGTCGACATCCAAGCTCTTCCTCTCCTTCGGTGTCGGCATCGGCATCGGTGCACCCGGTCGATTGCAGTGACGAGGGTCGAGGAAAGCATCGCCCTCCACAGCATTCAGGCCGCTCCATCCTGGGAATCGGTTTTCCAACCTCAGGAAAGTTGTCTGCTGGCATCTCATATATCGGGAACGGCGATGGGGTGCGTGGTGGAGTGCGCGGCAACGTGAATTGCGGCGAAGAGAACTGAGACGAGCCATACTGTGGCGAACTGAAACTGCGCCGAGGGGAACTGTTCCTCCTCCCTATCATTAATCCACCCTGACTCGGCGCGCCTCACGAACCGATAGAACTTCTACCTCGACTCCTTGCGCAGCATATATTGCACGCCATCATCCCTCATCCACCCCTACAAAATATCAAGTGGTACCTCGCGGCACTTGTCTAAGCGCACCCAGCTGGTCTTCGTCAGCTGCGTCACGCATCCTGGGGTATTGACGAGGTTGAGCTTGGGACCAGTCTGCTTATTCATCCTGTTCGGCGTCGCGATCTGTAGGTAGTTCCGCGGATCAACGGCATCGTCCCGGGTCGAGGTCAGAGAGACCATTTCAGCGCGGTCGTGGCCTAGCTTGCGCACCACGAAGACGGGGTGCAGGAAGGAGGAGTCGCAAAAGCCGAGCTCGCTGCGTGCAGCAGCGGGCCAGTCGATGCGAGGCTTGAAGCGGAAGGCTTTGCCTTCGATGGAGGGTGGTTTTGGGGGTTGATATTGGCCGAATGCGGAGGCTTCCAGTGTTGCCTTGGGAATATGCCAATAGAAGATGGAGTTGCGTGTTACAGAAGAATGACCCTAACCATGCAGATGCAGATCGTGATATATATATATGTGTGTGCATGTGTCACGAACCGAATCACGTGCGGGCAATACTCACGTGCCCTTCAGTGCCAAGACGGAGGCATGTCGGTCCGGACAATAAACGTAGAACTATATAGTAGGAACGCGGACCTTCGGAGGGTGGTCAGCGTTCAGTCTTCGTATCAATAGACCAGGATTCTACATATATTCCATCCCGTGACTTCCCACTGCCCTACTCGCCAAGAAATCCTTTACATTCTGAATGCTCCATCATTCCTACGATTAGGAAGAGTAGCCCAGTTAGGGAAGTCAAAGAAGAACCAGAAAAGACTACAGTATTCCGCCAGGGAAGCCGAAACCATGCCGCCACACACCCGCACTCAGACCGCAGACACTGAAGGAAGCGGCAGTCGCGAAGCAGCGTCTCTGCCGCCAGCTGAAAGTCAGCAAGGGATCGAGGCCCAGCTAGCAACTGCCCAGGCCATCGAGGAAGAACTCCTCGCGAAGCTCCAGCTCAAGGAGGCGGCCGAGCGAATTGAGCGGCTAAGGAAGCGGTTGGAAGACGGGGACGTTGCGGAAGTTCTATCGCCAGGCCTCCCCGTCGACGACCAAAGTGTCGCATCATCCAGCTCCGTCTCTTACGGGGGACTGCCGAAGAGCATAAGACCCCGGCAGATCGCCCCATACAAGGGAAGAACGGTCAGAGAGCACTCGGAATTCGTCACAAGCTGCGAATTAAGCTTTCGGTTGGAGCCAAGTCTGAATAAATCAGACGAGCTCCGCTGCAACTTAGCGGCAATGTGGCTCGAGGGCGAACCTCGAGACGCATGGCTTCGACACGAGAAGGAACCTGACTTCCAGAAGACTTGGAAGGGGTTCAAGAAGTTCCTTCTTGACCTCGTTGAGGATCCAGTTAATCGGGGCCTCTCGACAGCGATCAAATACGAGGAGGCGCGCCAGCGACCCGGACAGTCTGCGCAAACCTTTGCGACCTACCTCGAGACGTTAGAGGGGGAGTTGAAGGCATACAGTGAAGAACATCTGTAATGGTGGGTGCACCAGATATGAGAATCTAGCCACCCAAGGAAGGGATGAATTTACTAAGACAACACACTGTCTTAGGAAACAGAGCCAAAGGGTTGTAGCTTAGACTATTCCACAACGCAGCAATCAGGTGTATGATGTGGTGAAGTGGTCTAGACAAGTTGCAACAAATGTTGAGTCTGAGAACTCAGGGGTAAGTCAGAGGTTAGCACCTCACTGACTTTTCAAAAACAGAGAATAACAAGATCAATGCTTGGAAGCTTGGAAAAGACGTAGAAGTATGTGCTAGTCGATTTACTGTATTGCCTGCTTGCCCTTTCTTAAGGAAAGGGCAATCCTATTTATGCCAAAGGAGTGTAGTTCTCTCATTTTCCATGACTTTCCATGACTAACCAGGCTTGGTAAATGTATTAGAAATCAAGTGCGACCCACAACTAGCTTGCTAATCATGTAGTGAACGTAAGAGAATCCCATAGAACCATCTCTTGGGTTCCTAGCCTATAGGAAGTGAAAAGGAGGTCCAAGGTCAGAGTACCTATAGATAAATTATGTCATAACTTAACCAATCTTGTGGGTAACTAAGGAGCGATGACGTGTAATGAATCATAGAGGGTTGTAGAAGCTTCTAGAGCTATCGTTCATGTTCCTAGGCCTCTAGTTGGTAGAGATATGCCATGTGGTAGTATTGGCCCACCCCCTTAAGGAGGAGATTTTCTTAATAACTTGTTCAATGAGTGTTCAAATGATATGCCGTGATGTATGTAGCATAAACAGATGTAGTAGAAGAGTTTGCAGCAATCGTTGAGTAGTATTGCTTCTGTTGTTGGTGTGATAAGCCAAGATATGTATGGTGACTTGTAGGTTTGAGGAGGAGATTTCTAAGTTTGCTCTTGAGTTTGATAGCAAACTGAGTGCAACGAATGTCAGTATGACAACATCGAGTTCAGCACTTCCTCGCAAAGCTCCGGCCCGATCTACGCTTGAGGGTAATCACTTATCCTAAGATTCCGCGGATGCGAAGCGCCCTTATAGCGCTCGCCTCCCAGTTTGAACAAGCCAACCTACCAAAGGGCCAGGAAAAGGGGGGTCAGAAGGACCACAAGGAAGAAAAGAGGGGGGAGAATCCTCACAAGAGGGGTTCGCACCCCCACCAGGGAAGTCGAAGCGGAGAAAGAGCGGGAGTGAAGCGCTCGCGTCTCTCAGATGAGGAAGAGAAGCGGCGAAGGGACAACAACCTCTGTTTCCATTGTGGAAAGGAGGGACACCGCACCGCTCAGTGTTTCTTAAGGAACGGCGAGGGTGCGCAGTGCATCCGAGTGGTACAGCAGGGGAGCCAGCTAAAAGGCATCCTGCAACCAAAAAACTAGGGCCCTCTATCCAAATCCCGATGGATGGAGCGGTTACCCAGGGGAAGAACAGCCTGTCGATTCTTGTCAACGTACGAGGAGTGGAAGCGTGGTGACCCCTTCGCGCGCTCGTTGACAGCGGCACAACCGCCAACCTCATATCCCACTTAGTGGCAAAATGTAATGGTGGGTGCACCAGATGTGAGAATCTAGCCACCCAAGGAAGGGATGAATTTACTAAGACAACACACTGTCTTAGAAAACAGAGCCAAAGGGTTGTAGCTTAGACTATTCCACAACGCGGCAATCAAGTGTATGATGTAGTGGAGTGGTTTAGACAAGTTGTAACAAATGTTAAATGTTGAGTCTGAGAACTCAGGGATAAGTCAGAGGTTAGCAACTCACTGACTTTTCAGAAACAAGGAGTAACAAGATCAATGCTTGGAAGCTTGGAAAAGACGTGGAAGTATGTGATAGTCAATTTACTGTATTGTCTGCTTGCCCTTTCTTAAGGAAAAGGCAATCCTATTTATGCTAAAGGAGTTTAGTTCTCTCATTTTCCAAGACTTTCCATGATTAACCAGGCTTGGTAACTATAGTCAACGTAAGAGAATCCCACAGAACCATCTCTTAGGTTCCTAGCCTATAGGAAGTGAAAGGAGGTCCAAGGTCAGAGTACCCCTATAACAAATTATGTCATAACTTAACCAATCTTGTGGTTAACTAAGGAGCGATGACGTGTAATGAATCATAGAGGGTTGTAGAAGCTTTTGGAGCTATTGTTCATGTTCCTAGGCCTCTAGTTGATAGAGATATGTCATGTGTAGTATTAGCCCAGTAACTAAGGAGTGATGTCATGTAATGAATCATAGAGGGTTGTAGAGATATGCTATGTGGTAATATCGGCCCAGTAACTAAGGAGCAATGATGTGTAATGAATCATAGAGGGTTGTAGCAATCGTTGAGTAGTATTGCTCTTGTTGTTGGTGTGACAAGCCAAAATATGTTAAGTGACTTGTAGGTTTGAGGAGGAGATTTCTAAGTTTGCTCTTGAGTTTGATAGCAAACTGAGTGCAACAAATGCCAGTATGACAACTCCACTACATCATACACTTGATTGCTGCGTTATGGAATAGTCTAAGCTACAACCCTTTGGCTCTGTTTCCTAAGACAGTGTGTTGTCTTAGTAAAATCATCCCTTTCCTTGGGTGGCTAGATTCTCACATCTGGTGCAGCCACCATTACATCAACGGCGAGAGAGACATCGAAGGGTATAGCACTACGTTTGGATCATTCTGTACTTTTTCAAGTAGTAGCCCAACTTGGCATATAAGAAGTCATGAATATTACAGCGAGGCAAAAATTATAAAACCGTGATTGCTAACACCGTTGCAGGAGGCGGCACCTATGATTACTAAACTGAGGTTCCAGTAGGGAGGCAGCGATGTCATATTGGCTATGTTATCAATGATAATCAGCGACGAGATCCAGCAATGGATATGGAACAGACACTACATTATGCATCACCATCACTAATCTCTTAATGCGGAAGGATGGCGTTAAACGATGTTGGATAATCCCCAGATCAAGATTTGAGAGTCTGATGACGGACCTGGCTCGGGTCAGGAAGTTATACCATACCATATTCAGTTTGATAAAGATCATATTCTCATAAATATACTGGTGCTATCACCGCTTATCAGTAACTACACAAGCCGTTTTAGGGACCACAAATGCTCATCTAACCCCGCCTTGACACTAGCGGCTGCACTTGGCGGGGTGACGATGAGGAGATTCCATGTCGATGCCAACATCCAACAAAGACATGACGCGATTGAAGTATCAAAGGAGCAAGGAGCACTCTACTGTGCTGTACAGAGTCTGATTGAGACTGATACTGAATTTGAAGCTACTGGGACTTCCCATGTTAATTTCATCTCTGAGCAACTAACCGTGATAATTACAACTTCAAGTGCTCGGAGCCTTGGTATATTCATAGTTGCCGTGAAAACTTAGAGTGACAATAGGTTATATCAGCCATTCGCAAGCTTTGAGTAACTATTGTCACTACTTCCTCCGTTGTGTTCAAACTTGCCCGCCACGAGCTGTCAGAAAATATGATACCTGTCTCACACAACGACGCCTGGGACTCTAGCTCCCGCCATCTTGCGTGCGCTTCGTCGATCAAACCGCCCATCCTCCCCCAATATTCTACTTGCTTGTGTCAACTACTATCCTCCCCGCTACCTTCCCGGCGCGTAATCTTTCGAATATCTCCTGCAACTGACTGAGTCCCATCAGCTCAAGCGGGGCACTAACCAACCCCCGCGCAAAGAACTGGATCGCCTCCGCCGTATCGCGCCTGTTCCCAACATAGCTCCCTTTAATCGTGATCATCTTGACGACCGTTTCAAACACAGGCGCCCGAAGGATTGCATCCGCGGGCATTCCTATCGCGACAATCGTCCCACGTGGCCGTATATACTCGCAGGCTTGCTGGAACGGCTTCTCGAACGGTGCAATCAGTAACACGGCGTTAGGGCCAGCATGCTCGTCTGTTTCTGCTTTGACATCCGTTACGATGTCCTTCGCTGTCTCAAAATCAATATAGGTCCGCGCGCCGAGCTTCTTGCACAGCTCTCCCTTTTCAGAGCCACCGTCAATCGCCAGCACCCGAACGCCCATCGCTTTCGCAAATTGGATAGCAAGCGTACCGAGTCCGCCTCCTGCCCCGACAATGGCGACAGTCTGTCCAGGACGGGCATTCGATTCCTTCAGTGCCTTATAAACCGTGATGCCAGCACAGAGAATGGGTGCCACGGATGCTAGGTCGACCCCTGGCGGGATATGTGCGACGTGTGCTGCCTTAGCAATACAGTACTGTTGAAAGGTGCCATCACCGTGTAACCTGACAGAATCGCTTTGGGACATAGCGGCTCATCCGAGCCTGGCAGAACGAACAATAGAGACAGGAACCGTTCAGCCATTTTACACCGACATGGTCTCCGATTTTGACATCGCTGATGAGTTCGCCGCGCTCGACTACGACGCCGGCGCCTTCATGGCCTCCAATTAAGGGCCATTTGGTTTTGAGAGGCCAGTCTCCGGCCAGGGCGTGTAAATCGCTATTCTATTAGCACGATCTTTGTGATGCTTTGATATGTGATGAGAGTATAGGAGACGCACGTATGGCAAACCCCAGAGAATTTTATATTAACTAGGACTTCATCTGCGGGGATAGGGACAGGGATCTTCTTGTATTCGACCTCTAAGACAGCTTAATGACCGCCTTTCTCTGACAGAGGAAAGGTCATGTCGAGAGACATGAAGAGAGAACAGGGGGTAGAGCCTACTGTCACCGGGACCTTGGGCAACTTGTGCCCACTGAGTATCTGGTAAATTGTCCATAGTCTGTGATTGCCCACGATTGCCGTAGTCGACTTGGTAACTGCAAATACAAGGCTGCCCTATAGCTATAAATTATAATATGGGATTATTTCAGACATTAGGAAAACAAAGTTATGGTCCCGAATGACAACATACGGAATGCCCTGAACAGGTGACTTTCAGGCCCCATTACGTAGGTGGTGTCGTGACAGGTTATAACTTCTCCCGAAGCACCAAAGAAGGAGATATCCGTCTTCACTCACTCCCTTGCTCCAATCGTATGTGAAAACCTATAGCGAATTAAATAGAATATGTGAGGGGACTAGGGGTTGTCAAAACCCTGGGACCGGTGCCATTGCAAGGGTCCCTTGACAACTCTCCGTCATAGTGACCTCAATCAGGCCATGGCCACAAATATAAGGGATAAATGACAGAATCAAACTCTAGCTCTGCCACCAATCCTGACATCCCTCTAGACTGGGAGCAGAATCCACTCTAACAGAGTCCGGTTATGCTGATGAGGCTGTAGCCTTTTTGGAATGTCCAAGGCTTTCTCAGGCAGGATAGTCACCAGCCGTAGCATAAGTCAATATCAACTTCAATGGCGCTTGAAACTACAGTATCTATAGCTTTTCCTCCCCCCTATCTCACCCACTCACTACCTCCCGAACCCATCTCACTCTATGAGCCACCTGGACCTCCCAACAGAGCAAATCTCCGCACAATGGATGGGCCTATCTCATCATACTCCGCCTATAAAATGTTAGCGCTGCATCTGGAAAGAATATATAGCACCCAGCAAGACATACCTTGGTGTGGCAGTAACTCCTGAACTCGGGCGTCTGTCCCAATAAACTTCCACCAAACCATGGACCATGTCTCTGGCGCTTGTGCGTAATAACCTGTACCTCCAGGCCGCCAGACTTTGCGCCTCCGCTCTTCGCTTCCGAGGCGCGGATGCGAGCGTCAACGAGATGCTTGATGTCGCGCTGTAACCGGCGACCGAAATCTTTGTAGAGAGTGGATCCACCCGATAGGACAATGTTCTTGTAGAGGCCACGACGCACATCAATGGGCGAGGTTTGGATGACGGTGTCGACCACTTGTGGGAGGGGGGTCAGGAAATCGGAGGAGTAGATCTCGGGGTTGAAGAAGATCTCTGGGGCCAGGAAACGCTCGTAGCCAACGTCGACCGAGACCTTCCTTCCGCCGGGCTGGGTGACAAGGTGCTTCACGAAACGTGTGGGGTCCTTATCAAACCTGCTGAACTCCTTAACAATATCGGGGCAAACGTAACAGTATTCTTCCTTGATCTCTCCAGCAGTCTTCAAGCTCGAGTCTGCCTCGCCGCGGTCTCTCAGCAGGGATTGCACGAAGTAGGTAATATCACGACCGGCGATTGGGATGGACTTGATGGATGAGCCGATAACGTATCCCTCAGCAACGGGAATGACGTGGGTAACACCATCACCAGAGTCGATAACCGTTCCGGTAAGAGACCGGTCGGATACCTTCGAGGAGGTCCACGAGGCAGCGAGGGCGAGCACTGCTTGGACAGCGATGTATAGACCGGCACAGTTGAACGATTCGAACATAATCTCGGCGGTATTCTCGCGGTTCTCCGGTGGGTTTAGCGGAGGTTCGGTGAGCAGGAAGTGATGGTCTTCTGGCTCAACGCGCAGGTATTTGAATATCGAGTTCGACCAGAAGCGCTCCATGTGATCCCAGTTCTCAACTTGACCGTGGCGAATGGGATAGTGAATTCCGTATCCTGCACTGGGGTTAGTCTCACTCCCCTCCAACACATAGGCTACAACGTACCTGGTCCATTCGCGGCTGCCAAGGCCTCGTCACCGATGAAGAAGTCCAGGTCCTCTGTCCCTCTCTTCATAGATAGGTTTCCACCACCTGATCCAGTTCCACCAGTGAGAAACGATGGCTTCGCTCCGACACCTGGGCGGCCAGATCCAGTGCCTCCGGCTCCTGGTGCCCCGCCCTTGGTCGCGATGGCGGTAGGGAATACGAAGGACGGCGAGTCATTCCCAGCGAACCCTAGAGAGATATGGTCAGTTGCGTCCCAATTATGGGTTTTCATTCCATCTCACCGAGCTTCGAGAAACCTGTGCCGCTGTAAATAGTGTCAGTATGTCTTACAATGCCACAGTCGGCGGTCCATTGGGGACGGAGTGGGGTAAAAGTGCTTACTTGTCCATGACAACGGCGGGGGTATGGTTCGCCATCTTGGGGGTTGGGGGGCTTCTTCAGGCGCTCAATATACCAACAGCTTCAATGAAAATGGACGAAGCTGTTGTAGAGATATATAGCAGCGGCGTCAGCATCGCAGGGAAGTTGTTACCTTCGAGGTTTGGATGACGACGGAAGCTGGTGGGCGACGCAGCCTATCGGAAGCCGCCCCACCAAGGATTTAGCGTGAGGCTGGAGAGGTTGGAGGCTGGTGGCTGTGTATCACGTGACCGTAGATTTTTATATCAGAAAGTTATGGAAGGACGACTGGCAGTTTCGCTGCATCTCACGGTTTACAAAATAAGAAAGAGCGGCCCTCTGTCAATAATCTGTCAATAACTGGTCAATATACTTGCACGCCATGGCAGCTGCGAGTAAGTGATGAGGAGGTAAGGTAGATAAGTCTCTCTGAGCAGCTTCTGTGCTCCATTGAAGCCCAGCGAGGGATCTTCTCACCACCCTACTCGGCCTCCTCCTCTTTGGCTCATCTTCATCAAATATCTCATCTCCACCGAAACCATTCATTCCCAATCATTCTTTATCCCTTTTTTGTCACTGTCATTATCAGTTTCCTGAAATCCCGTGCTGTTGTGTGTCAAGCCGCCTCGCCTCCCCATCCATAAAAAGACTCTGTATAACGGATCTTTTGTCCATATACGTGCCACTCATTTGTATAGCAGTTGGTTTCTGTTTCAACCTAGAATACTTGGCTTTGGGTTTTTCTGTGCGGATTCCATGAGACGGTCAACAGACGTGTCTGTTGTACAAAGAGCTCCGGTTTGTTGCCAGTATCTGAACGTTCTTGGGCGTCTCCGTTAAGCACTTGAAGGCTGATACTGCAATATTTCCCAGGTCGTCTTCTTGTTTTGATCTTGATACTCTTTCCCATCCTTCAATCTCGACCTTTCACACATAACAAACCACCTGCACCCCAGTCTTAGTGGCGAGTGCACACGTCGCCGGTGAGCTGAACGCCAGGCAACTCACCGGACAAGAATTCCTCAGCCTTCATGTTGATTGCACCTGTTCTCTCGCAAATTCGCCCACTTTACAACGCGTTGGAGAAACAGCCGATCTTCAGCCGAACGCACCAAGAATTCATACCACATTACGCGTATAATTGTTCCTACAACCTTTGTTGACCTCACACGTTGGCCCACTCTATGCAAGAACCAGAGACAACTTCCAGACGCCACATCCTCTCCAGAAGACTTGACCACGCTCGAACCCGCTTTAGAATCATCCGAAGTCAAGTCCATGACCACGTAAGGAATACAAATACAAGCCTAACCCACATTATTTCGAGGCCATTTCCAAGGTACAAAGAACAACGCTTTCTGGGCTATATCCGACTCCAAGCGCCACCCCCCACGCCAGTACTTGGCGTCGCAATGGACGGCGCTGGGGAGAAACGGCCGGGGTTAAATCGACAAAGTCATGCTCCAGTGGCAGCCATATTCGTCCATGCTGGTGCTGGATATCACAGCACAACTAATGAGAAAATACATCTCGGTGCATGTGCAGAGTGAGTTTACCTATGCCACTAACATCCCCCTCCCTCTGACAAACAACATCTGACAGGGAGATGTCATACCCAGATCGTGCTAACAAATTTTTAGCGCATGCATAGTTGCCATGCGTTTTCTTCGTGGAGGTGGAACTGCGGTCGATGCAGTCGAAGCAGCAATCAAAGTCCTTGAAGACAAAGAAATCACCAATGCCGGATACGGAAGTAACCTCACAATCGAGGGTATTGTCGAGTGCGATGCAACAGTCGTTGACCATCTGGGTCGAAGTGGAGCTTGTGGCGCCGTTGCGAGTAGGTTTAGAAGACCAAGTGAACTTAATGACCATGCTGACATTTGTACAAGAAATCAAAAATCCTATTCACCTCGCCCGAATCGTTCTAGAAGAGTCCAACCGCCCATTGTCGCTCAGACGCGTACCACCAAACCTGTTGATAGCTGACGGTGCAGCAGAGTTTGGGTTTGAGCATGGGATGGACATAGTTCACCACGATGCGCTCGTGTCTACTAATGCCAGAGAAAGATTTATCCGCTGGCGGGAGGACCTGAGGAAAGCTGGGTTTCCCCGCACTCCCAACAGCCCAGGCAGCCCAGGCGAGGAAGTGGTTGACCATGAATACGAAGAAAGAGTGCGTGAGAAGCAAAGAAGAGATCACTTCAACGCTCTCATGAGTGCTACATGGAACGAAGGCCAACCAGGTACTCCTCAGGCAGCATCGCCGTCGACTTTTGCAGACGACAAGATGCAAGATGTCTTCCAACCTGAGCATGATATGCTACCAACCAGGATTCCAGCCTCGGCGAACCCGAAAACACCAAGAACCCCTGACAATAAAATTCAATATGAGTCAAACACGCAATCGCGTATTCCTGTTAGTCCATCGATGCACTCGGCCAAGCGCCCCAGGTACAGCGGTAGCCGTTCCAGTGAAGGACATGGACCACGTACTCCCTCTTTGCTTAAACCAAACAGGAATGTGGATGCGGCTGACGAACCGTCTAAAAGTGAGTCTGATACACCATCGGGACTGACACGCCCTCCTACCGGCAAGCAACGCAAAGGCACCGATGGTTCTGATGACACACAAGAGCCCGCTACACTGCCAGAACTCGAAGACGAGACCCCCAAGCCGTTCCCTGCTTTTATGCTCTCCGATATCGACGAAGACCGCATTACCGATACCGTCGGCGCCATCGCCATTGACATCTTTGGCAACATCGCCGCCGGTTCATCCTCCGGCGGCATCGGCATGAAGCATCGCGGGCGCGTCGGACCAGCCGCTCTCGTCGGAGTCGGCACAGCCGTCATCCCCGCCGACTTCGAGGACTCCGAAAACGTCACCGTCGCCGCCGTCACCAGCGGCACCGGCGAACACATGGCCACCACGATGGCCTCTCAGAAATGCGCCGAGCGCCTGTACTTCTGCACCAAGCGCGGCCGCGGCGGCACCAACACCGAGACCAACGAGGAAGACGCCATGGAATCATTCGTCCTCAACGACTTCATGGAGCACCCCGGCGTCAAGAACAGTCACTCTGCAGGCGCGATCGGCGTCATGGCCGTCAAGAAGATGCCGGAGGGGTATTTTTTGCACTTTGCGCATAATACGGATTCGTTTGCGCTGGCGAGCATGCATTCGGGGGAGAGGGAGCCGAAGTGCGTTATGAGTCGGATTGGGGATACGGGGGTTGTGGTGCAGGGGGGGAGGAAGATTAAGGTTGATGGGTAGTTCGCTACTAAATGGTAGGCGACGGTGCGGTTTATGGGTGAGGTTGGGTGTGTGGGTGATAGATGGGAAAGGGGGGGGGGCCATTTGCGGGTGGGATGTCCGGTTGCTTGAGCAAGATGTGGAAGCATCAGATTGCCTCGCTCGCTGTCTATCGTCTTTTCGTCCCTAGTTTTCCGAGCGAGTAGACTCGGAGTTAGTGAGTGGAATGGAAACTTTACATGATACTTTCTCTTAGTTGTCATTTTGAGGGTGTGGCGGGACAACATGAATTATGAGGGACAGGCATCGTAGAAATTATTCAACTGACTTCACTACCAGGAACGTCATAAAAATGGATTCAGTAACTGTAGCATCTCTACCTCTTGTCTACTACCAGCCATCATCATTCCCCAAATTGAGGTTTATCCCAACTATACCTATAGGAATGTATCATAAGCCAGGTTATACCATAGCCACGTATCTTCTACCACTTCTATCAAGGAGCTAGTAGGTAATCTATTCCACCGAAACACTCCCATTCAGAGCCTGCACAGCCTTAGCAATAACCCCCTCGCTCGCCTCCTTAGCCAGCTCCTCGCTCTGCTGAAGACCCTTCCGGATCGCGAGGACGCTGTCGACGATTACAGCATCGATGCCTTCTTTGACTTGTAGCTGTTGTCACGTATTAGCCTCATATCATCTGACTCATCTCCTCTGATCTCCTTATATCCCCCTCAACTACATCCAGACGTGGGGTTAAGGTTGGTAGTGTGGAAGGGGGGGGACTAACCTGCACCATCTTCGGATCATTATTCTGCGCCCCATAACTCACACAAACCAACCCCTGCTCCTTAACCACCCTCACCAACCTCGGCGCCGCACAAAACGCCGCCGCCTGCGCCACAATCCCCAACAGATTCCAGCGACTCGCAAACCGGATCGCCTCCTGCAGACTACTCGCCCTCACATCGCCCACCGGCGAGGCTCCCGCGTCTGACAGAAAGAGGATCGGGAAGTTGGGCTGCTTGAAGGAGAGAACGAGACAGACGTCGGGGTTAAAGGAGGAGAAGATTAGGTGCCGTTGGCCGCCGAGCTCGTAGGCTTGGGAGAGCACGGCATCGGTGAAGGAGTTTAGTTCGACGGCGTAGGCGTCCATGTGGTGCTCCTCGCTCTCGTGTAGCATCGGGTACTTGAGCTCGATATTAAAGCCGACTTTCTCAGGGAGCTTGCGGAAGAGCTCTTCGAGTGTGGTGAAGGGCTGCTGGATGAACCGCCCCCGTGAATTGGCCTTGTACCCGTTCGCCTTGAAGTCGTGGGTATATTTCATCCGCTCCTCCATCAGGGTATTCGTGTCCGTCGGCGTGTATCCCACTGAAAGCGAGCGCGGGCGCGGTGTTAGCGCTGGGAGGACGGGGAGCGCTTGGGAGGGCGTATCGGCTTTCCGCAGCGGGGAGGGCGGTTGCGAGAGTGTGGGCGTGTCGTTAACGTGGAGGAATTGCTCGAGCGTCAATGTATGCACTGGAGCATCAATCCCCGTCTCCGAAACCAAAAAATCATGATAGATGACCGGAACATGGTCTTTCGTAAGCTGGACATCGAACTCCACATAATTCGCCCCCAGATTCGCCGCCGAGATAAACGACTGAATCGTATTCTCCCCCAACTGCAGCGACTTATTCGTCGTCTGATTCTTCCCCAGCCCGCGGTGCCCAATCACCATCGGGCTCTGCAGACTCTTCCAGTACGTCTGCGTCTCTGTGATCTCCATGTTGGGGTGCGCGAAGGGCGTGATGATGAGGAAGTTGAAGTTTACGGTCCCCAGGACCTCGAGGGTGTTGGCGGCGACGAGGGGGACGGAGAGGTCGCCGGCGAGGTTGGCGCGCTGGGAGCCGACGGTGGAGCGGATGGAGGAGAGGAGGGCGACGGCGCGGCCGAGTTTGTGCTTTTGGTTGCCGGAGTAGGTGGGGACGAGGTCGAAGAGGAGCTTGACTTTGGAGGGGTCTTTGGTTAGGAAGGTGAAGGGTTCGGTGGCGATGTTCTCTTGGACTGGGAGGTCGATTGTTGTTTGATCGCCTTCAGCACCGACGGCAGAGACGAGAATCGACAGTGCGGTGTCCAGCTGAGTGGAGTGGGCTTCCGCGATAGGGATCTTCTCGAGATTCACAGCATCATTCGGCTTCCTCATATCCATCGACCCGAGACTGACGAGAACCATACTCTGATCCGTCAAATAACGATGACCAAACGCCCTAACCGGGTTCGATTCCTTGACAGTAGTCGACGGGTTCCTCTCCTCCAAAGACGCGATACCAGGCGGCGAACCACTCGATCCCGTGCTACCGTCAAGAGATTCCGCGTCATGCGTTATATATTCGGCGAGCAGCTCCGCGATATTAATATGGCCTCTCAGCGCCGCATGCTCACGCGCATTCCACCCAGAAGAGTCCTCCCGGTTGACGTCCGCATGAGCTTCGAGGAGTAATTCGACGATGGGAAGGTGTCCGTCAACGGCCGCGATATGCACAGGCGTCCACTCGAAATACTTCTCGCAGATATCAGGATCCGCCTTCTGCTCCACAGTGCCATCAAGGAGGATCTTGGCACACTCGACATGGCCGAATCTGGCGGCGACGTGGAGAGCCGTCTCGCCAGCGGCATCTTGCCAGTTTACATCAACGCCAGAGTCTACCAAGAGCCGGACAATCCTGTAGTAATTCGACTTTGTAGCGAGATTCAAGACGGCGCTGGACTTTGAGCTTCTAGCAGCCTTTCCAGTTACGCCCTCGGCTTCAAACAGCGCTTTGGATGTAAGATAATGCCCACCGACAACGCTCAAATGCAGCGGCGCCAGGCCTTCATGATCTTGCCACTCCGGCGCATCGATTCCGTTCTCGACATTAAATAAACCCCATTCGCGCATAAATTTCATCAGGACCTCACAGACGACGACGATGCCGAGTTGTGCAGCGTAATGGAGCGGTAGTCGGCCATAAGAGTCTTTAGCTGCGATCGCATTATACTGGGAAGGTTTCATCCTCTCCAGCACGTACGACAACATATTAACCGTCTCGCCATCAAGACTCGGGGTTTCAGCCTCGGCGCATTTGTTTGCGCGTGGGCCTAGGAGTGGCTGAGCAGCTGGATGGATGAACTGATTCGTCTCGAGTAGCTGGGCCGCCTGGTCTTTGTTTGTCTTGTTAATAGCAAGAACCAAACGATGCAGGCAATTGCGCTGGTTGATATCATCTGGCTCGTCAAAGTCCTTGACCTCCGCTAAAAGGAAGGCAATGCATTTCTTTGACTTGCTCGAGATGGAGCGTTGAAGTAGAGTGAGTTCGAGGCTATTCAGGGCAGGGTCTCCCGCGTCAAACTCAGCGGTCGCCAATGTCTCCTTCAGTATAGACGCATCATCGTTCCGCACCGCTCCCTTGACCGTCTCCAGCAACCCAGATGGCAGGTTGAGCATCGGCTTATGCACCGAGTGTATCGACTTGCTCTCCGGCGTCTTCGCATCATTAAGCGCAGAAAGCCAATCATTAATCGACTTCATACTCTCCGCCAGCGCCTGGTTCGTCGCAAACTGCTTCGGATCCACGCGCGACGCGATATACGACTGCTGTATAAACGAGCTCTCCACCTTCTTATCCAACTTCTTCGTAATCTTCACAAACCCCCTACGATTCACCTCCCCAAACCACTGCAGCTTCCGCAGCTGCCCGCGCAGATCCAGCAGCGCCGCGCGCAGCTCTTCGAGGTCGTCATGGTCGCGGTGCTCGAGCAGGCGCAACCGCCGCGACGCCTTGCTGTACTTGCGGTTGTAGAACTCGTCGACGGTCTCGAGGTTGCGGTCGAGGGAGAAGAAGAATTCTGCCAAGGTCAGAGATGGGGGTCTGGGGGGAAGTTTGTGGGTTCAAGAATGCGGACCTGCCAGATCGGCGTGGTCGGGTTCCGCGGCGACGACGGTTCGGATGAGCTTCTTCAGGCCTTTGTAGTTGATGTAGCTGGATGCCCATTCGGGGACTTGGTTTCGGGGGAGGCTGGAGGGGGGGCGGTCAGCGGCTGGATGTGTTACGGGGAGGATGTGTGAGTGAGAGGATGTGTGAGTGAGAGGATGTGTGAGTGAGAGGATGTGTGAGTGAGAGGAGGATGCACTTACTTGCGACCAAACTTCATGATGGGCTATGAGGCGTAGCAGCAAACTTAATGAGCGGTGAGTTGCAGCGCCGGGTGGCGTGGCGGTCAAAGGACAGGATGAGACAGACAATGAAAGGTCAACAGCAGGTCCATTGAGATATATGGTCCTTGGGAGCGGGATATAGAGAAAGATGAGAGCAAGTATAGGTATATGCAGCAAGTTGGCGCTATGGACGTAGGGGACCGGGAGAGAAATGGGAAATGGGAAATGGGAAATGTAGAAGTAGTCGAGTAACAAACTGACTCTCATCCACGCCGCTCAACGCCAACGCCGGCACGGCAGAACAGAACAGGCCGTGTCCCGACTGGCGCTGGTGACTGGCTGGAACACCAACACACCAAGATCGAGGCGAATAAGGAGAATATCTTGATTGCACTCTCCCATATATCCCAAACTAAATAACATATTCACATCAAAAGGGCCTGATAGTTCAGTGGTAGAATTCTTGCTTTGGGAGCGATTCAGCATTCAAATTGTAAGAGGTCTCCGGTTCGATCCCGGATTAGGCCCACTTTTTTGTCCTTTTTGTCCTTTTTGTCCTTGTTTATTTTTGGTCTCAACAGCGACGACTGTGAAATGGGATAATGGATTCCATCACCCTGACGCAACTCCATCAGATCAGTTTTTCAATCTCATTCCCTATATACGCGCAATCATGGTCCCTGTCCACATTTGTTGCCCCCCCCCTTTTCCCCCCCGAGTCCCCGTTCTGACCAAGAAAAATATGAGATGTATAGATAATAAAACAACGAGAAAACACCATGCATCCCATCACCGCCAACAAACACGCTCTTCCCCTCCGTATATCCAGCATATATCCACAAACCCCACCTAACCAACCCCTTTTCGAATCGAACATCCCCCTCCCCCCCCTCTACAAAAACCCATCACCCGCCGAAATCTTCTTCGCCTCTGCAATACTCCACTCCGTCCCTAGATCATCCTCCATATCCATAAACAAGTCATGCGTATCACTATACGTACTCAGCTGCGCCCCCGCACTCTCCAACGCATTACTAATCCTCCACGTCCCGTCCAGCACGCTCCTAATATTCCACTGCTGCCCCGTCGCCGTATCATCCGCCGTCGCCATCAGCGGGCTGATGCGATCCGACGGATCCAGAAACAATCGGATGTCCTTCCCGAGGTACTGGCACGCGAACCAGTACCGCTCGTCTGCATCGGGGACTTTCTTGATCTGCCAGTACTGTCCGCTCGTGTCCCCCCTGATCATCATGTTAAGCTTGCGAGAGAGGGTGCCGTTGTCGTTATGGATGTCGAGGGAGTAGCCGGCCTTGAGATATTGGTTCGAGAGGCGGTAGAAGATCCCCTCATCGAACATCGCGGTCGTCGTTGTATCCGTTGAAGTAAGCCCCGTCGTCGCAGTCGGCGTACCCGTCAAACCCGCCGACACCAAAACCGACGACGACGAACCAGCCCCCTTCGAATCCTTTGCCTTCTTACTCCCCACCACACCACCCACCACGGCGCCCGCGACAATTAACACCGCTGCGACGATGAGACACCAGAACACCACCACCGAGAGTCCACAGATCCGCTTCTTCCCCCCCTTCTCATCAGGTTGCGTCGCGTACGGCGCAGCCTGGAGTAAACCACCCGGTTGATTCTCCGCATACTGCATCTGTGGGGGGGAGTTGATGTACTGCCCCTGCTGCTGCGGCGGCTGCTGATATGGCTGCTGTTGGTATGGTTGCTGATACGGTTGCTGAGGCCCAAGTGCAGGGTTATCGGGGTAAGGCGCCTTATTGCAGTTCTCGACATACACGCTGTGCACTTGTAACCCCTCGGACTCGGGACGCGGACCGCCGTAGTAAGGGCCCGTGTGCGCGGCGTGAGGGGAGCCTTGGGGAGGAGCCTGGTAGACTTCGGGGGCGTCGGCCATTGTGTGGGTGATGGGGGTTTAGGGCGAGGAGGGTGAGGAGGGTGAGGTGGCGGTGATGCGCATTCCAGGGGCCGAAGCTCGCTGGGTGAGGTCGAGGCTGTGGCTGTGGGGGGCGAGTTTGTTTGTTTGTCGTCCGATAGTCGTGTATGTGTGTGGTTGTGGAGAGTAGCGACTGTATTCAATACTCAATGCACGGAAGCGCTCACGAAAAGAATGATGATGAGATATCTTTGAAGTCGGAAAACAATGCTCCCCTGCCACATGGCGCGTCTCATCTCCCATCATCCATGCGCGAATATCCCAGTCGGGTAATTAGAGCGTTTTACAGTCCACTCTCGCCAAGACGATATCGGATTAGTCGATAACACCGCTAAGTCGATATTTTTTTCAGCACCAATTGATTCTCGCACTCAATTAGGCCACTTCAGTTTTGAGTGTAGCAGCGTAGCAGCTTTAGCCTAGATAGGAAATGATGTAACCATAATCCTTGCGCCCCCCTGTTGCCACTATTTCCTAATGTAGTCTAAAGCTGATACAGTGTAGCAGCGAGCTGCTACACTGTAGCAGCTCAGGTCTTGGCAGTCTGGTCCTAAATAGGTTAGTATTATAAGTAAAATCCAACGTTGGAAAATGAAGTTGTAGATATATTATCAATTGTATAGTTATATATAATAATGAATAACGCTTTTACCAACCCCTATTTGCAATATCAAGTGCCTATGGCGCAGCCCTGGCCTACCCAACCACCACCTCACGAACTCTCAACTGATACCGCCAGCGAACCTTGGCTTGAATTGCCCCAAACCAGCAATGAAACTAGCGATTCCACTATCCTCGAAGACTCTCTAGCAGCTACAGCTCAAAGCGCTTTAGCTCAGAGTAGCCAGGCTGATGGCGTTATAACATCGAAAAGGGGGGGGGGAAGGGGCTTACGAGAGACCAAAAGACAACGATTATCCGGCTTTGCGTCCAAAAAAGGGATATATATGGGGTTATTGCAGATAGATCCTTTTGGCGGCTTATAACTAAGGAGGCGGAACACTTGCTAGGTTTAACCCATAACTCTATTGGAAGAGTTATTACCAGTCTTATTCGAGAGCGTCGGAGCGAAGTCTCATTACGGCCAGAAGGACGAAGTGGCGAAGAAGATCCTCCTTCTTCATATGACGATGCAGTTGACCAATGGATTAATATCGTTGATATACGGGCTAATAAGGAATCGATTCGAGATGCAGCAAAATGTAATGGTGGGTGCACCAGATATGAGAATCTAGCCACCTGTTACGACGGAACAAGAAGGCTGGCCAACTACAGGACAGGAAGGAGGGAGGTCGCATGAGACCGGCCCTGGTACCTGGAGGGGCAGCGGGGAATAGTAGTTCCGAAAGTATCACGTGACGGACTCGCAGGATGATGAGAAGAGTCCTAAGAGTCCAGGACTCCGAGGACTCGAGTGAGTTCCCAGGAGTCCACTAGGCACGTGATGGACTCGCAGGATGATGAGAAGAGTCCTAAGAGTCCAGGACTCCGAGGACTCGAGTGAGTTCCCAAGAGTCCACTAGGCACGACGCCACTATATAAGTAGATAGTATTTCCTTAGATAGGAGCTTCGTGCTCAACTCAATACAGTATTTGTTATATACTAGTAACGTGTTACTTGAAGCCTTTGTGTCTGATCCCCTGCCTCCTCTGATAAGTAAACCTTTACGCAAGAGAACCTCTGTGTCTTCTATCATTTAGAAGTCAGCGTTACACCACCCAAGGAAGGGATGAATTTACTAAGACAACACACTGTCTTAGGAAACAGAGCCAAAGGGTTGTAGCTTAGACTATTCCACAACGCAGCAATCAGGTGTATGATGTGGTGAAGTGGTTTAGACAAGTTGCAACAAATGTTGAGTCTGAGAACTCAGGGGTAAGTCAGAGGTTAGCACCTCACTGACTTTTCAAAAACAGAGAATAACAAGATCAATGCTTGGAAGCTTGGAAAAGACGTAGAAGTATGTGCTAGTCGATTTACTGTATTGCCTGCTTGCCCTTTCTTAAGGAAAGGGCAATCCTATTTATGCCAAAGGAGTGTAGTTCTCTCATTTTCCATGACTTTCCATGACTAACCAGGCTTGGTAAATGTATTAGAAATCAAGTGCGACCCACAACTAGCTTGCTAATCATGTAGTGAACGTAAGAGAATCCCATAGAACCATCTCTTGGGTTCCTAGCCTATAGGAAGTGAAAAGGAGGTCCAAGGTCAGAGTACCTATAGACAAATTATGTCATAACTTAACCAATCTTGTGGGTAACTAAGGAGCGATGACGTGTAATGAATCATAGAGGGTTGTAGAAGCTTCTAGAGCTATCGTTCATGTTCCTAGGCCTCTAGTTGGTAGAGATATGCCATGTGGTAGTATTGGCCCACCCCCTTAAGGAGGAGATTTTCTTAATAACTTGTTCAATGAGTGTCCAAATGATATGCCGTGATGTATGTAGCATAAACAGATGTAGTAGAAGAGTTTGCAGCAATCGTTGAGTAGTATTGCTTCTGTTGTTGGTGTGATAAGCCAAGATATGTATGGTGACTTGTAGGTTTGAGGAGGAGATTTCTAAGTTTGCTCTTGAGTTTGATAGCAAACTGAGTGCAACGAATGTCAGTATGACAAGATTCTCACATCTGGTGCACCCACCATTACATTAGCGCTGTTAGCTGTAGGAGGGATTGCTCGAACTTGGCTAGATGGGGTTAGGCGCTCATGCTACAGTAATGGGGCTAAGGTAGGTGTCAAAATAGCTCTTCATCTTCTTCATCTTCTTCATCTTCTTCATCTTCTTCATCTTCTTCATCTTCTTCATCTTCTTCATCTTCTTCATCTTCTTCATCTTCTTCATCTTCTTCATCTTCTTCATCTTCTTCATCTTCTTCATCTTCTTCTAGATTGGAATAGTTTTAGTAGTTTAGTTTCCTCATTATTCAAGGCTATCATTACTTTTAGTACAATATGTACAACTATCCTACTAGTACATGTACACCGTAGGGTATCCTAACCCGACTCCCTCTAGTCTATTCTATTCTAAAAACACCCCGCCAGCGGCCCCTCCTCGGCATACTCCTCCCTGAAAGCTCCAACTGGCCCAGAAGTCACCGCCATAGGTCGAAAGTTGGATTTAGATTCATCAACCTCCACCCGGGAAGGCGTCATAAACGCCCCTCCATCCGCCTCACCCCATCCGTCCTCCTCCACCAGCTTCGAAATCTTCACAAAGCTAGGCGTGTCCGCTATCAACATACTTCCAAATTCCCTGGGTATCTCCTCTATCCGCGTCCGGCTCACCTCCCCATCACTTCGCACCCAGGACGGATGAGGCAACGGCACCTTCCGTGCCCGGTAGCTCGCCATATCCTTGGCCTCCTCGGCGTGGAAGTGCCGTATCATCGCCGCGAACTGCTCGGGATATATATACCTCGCCAGCGGGTGCTTGACATCCAGAATCACCTCTGCCGCGTCTACCGCCCCCGACAACGCGGAGCCCAGACCACAAGCTTCAAGCACATCGTGGATCTTACCCCGCACATCGGAATTATAGTCCAGCCCGCCGCCAGGCTTCTCCTTCTTCCCAAACTGCCACGATAGCGCGGTGACGATGCGCAGGAGCGCGCTGGTCCGCTCGGGGCAGGTGAGGCTGTAATAAACTATATCGGCAAAGACCTGGGTGCGCACGTAACACCCCTCTTTGATGGCTGTCTTGAGGTAACGCAGCGCGCCGTCCAGGTTGTGGAAAGTCATGCAGCCTCGGATCAGAGACTCGAAGATATCCGAGTTCCGGTGCGCTTTTTGCTGTAGGTAGCCGTCGCGGTGTATGACGTCTGTGTCCAGCGCCCATTTCTGAACTGTGGGCTTGGTTAGGTCGAAGATATGGTGTCTTTCGAACCCGAGGCCGTCTTCTAGCCCGGCCATTTGCCGGACTGTTGTGTAGAACTTCTCGGGGTCGCGTGACATCCCGTAATGCACGAGTATCGCGGATAGTATTCCCTCGTCCGGACGCAATCCGTTGTTTTTGAACTGGTGCACCACTACCTCGGCGAGTTCGGGTTGTCGTAGCTTCGTGAAGGCCTGGATCAATAGCTCGTATGTGGCGACGTTTGGCACCGATGTCGAGGTTAGGAGGTTGTAGCAGATATTCGCAATCATCAAATCATAATTGCGCTCCTTGAAGCCCAGTGTCTTTGTAATAGAATCCAGTGTTGCGTTTAGACTTGTCGTGTCCGAATTGCTCCCCACGGTGCCCACCCTGGGATACTCCGGCGCTGGCGTACTGCCATCCAACATCGGCATCATGAGCTCTGTCAGCCGCCTGATTTCAGACCTGGGCTCCACCTCAGTGTCCATCACCGCATCTGTTCCGACTCCGCGCTTTGCGCTTCCTTTTTGCCCCATTGATGTAGCTTGCCAAAGTTCGTGCACGAGCGCGTTGACGTTGCGCGCCAGTCGATCCAGTTGATATGTCGTCCGGGGCTCCCAATGCGACATTGTCGAAGCGGCGAATTCACTCCCTTCCAGTAGCCTGCGATCGCTTTCCACTGCAACCGGGGATCTCTCCTTTGTAGAACCCCCCCGCCGATTCGCCTGGTTTATATTATTCCAATTCCCCGACTCTTGAACGCTTTCCCACAGAATACCCTCCAGTTCGTCCCACACTGGAGTCATCGATTCCCTCCGCCTCGGCGTCGACTGGGGTGCATCAAGAATCGGCATCGGCACAAAACTCATGAGTTTCCGCACCGTCGTGGCGCCCTCTTCTAGCTTCCGACATATATTCGCATCCGGCGTATACTCCTCTACCTCATTCCCCATAATATTCGACTCCTCATCCGCCGCCTTCCCTATCGAGACCCGACCCGGCGTCGAGATACTCGCCAGGTCCTTCCCCGACCTCACCTCCTCAATCGCCTGATCCCACTGCAACAACCGCTCATCCTTTCTCCTCGTATCATACACCGCCGCCGTCGCAAGCATCGCCGAAAAACTCGCTGTGAAAACATCGCTCGGCCGTAACCGTCGTCGCGCCGCCGCTGTGCTCCTGCTCGTCCGAGCGACCCTCGCTCCGGCTTGGAGACATGGCCCACACTGACAGGACCTGCTGGCCTGCACGGTGCGAGACCAGAGAGCCAGCATTATACCATGCCGGGTCGGTCGTATCTGTGAAGGTCTATAAACGGCTCGTAGGGGGTTCGCGATAGCCGTGGGGGGCTCAATTAGCGTGTCGGGAATATTTTTTGAGAGGCTCCGAGGACCTTCGTTATGCCCAGCAGTTATTGCCAACCTTCTGCGTTTAGCGCGCCAAGCGAGGGACGCCGCTTTAACTTATCATGAGCTGGATATCAGGACAGCGATTTGGGTGGAACTGCGTTGTTTCCGCGATAATACGAACACAAGTCAGTTTAAACTCCTCCGGAAGACCTCTTGATTTTTGAAGACATGCTTTCTCTTACCCTGACTGCTGATCTCTCCGGGTAACGCGATTCCCATCCGCTCCTACATTTCACATGCTTACAACCTCTCAGAGTGACCGATTTGCGCCCCGATGATACTCCAGAGGATCCCTTCTGGTACACGTTTAAGGTGCAATGTACATCCTGCAGGGAAGTTCACCCTAACTGGGTCAACGTGAGCCGATTTGTATGTCTGAACGTCTATCTCCTTGGCTCCACAGCAGTTAACGAGGGATTTAGGAAATGAACGAGATGAGCGGCAGCAGAGGCGAGGCCAACTTCGTCTGGAGGTGTAAAATGTGCAAGGTAAGATTTATCACTGAAAAGCAAGGTTGTAGCCATATTTAATCCTTTTGAACAGAGAGAGTCTTCGGCGACAATCATGGCACCACCAATTTCATATCAGCAGTCCTCGCCTCCAAAGGCCCAGAAGGTCATTGGTTTTGACTGCAGAGGTCTTGAGTTTATAGATTTCAAACCTGAGGTATGTGTTATATCTTACATATGTATATGCGCGACTCTAACATAGCTATAGGGAGATTGGCTGGCCACGGGAATCGATTCGGGAACCAAGTTTGAGGCTATCAACTTCGAGGAGGGAGATTGGTACGAGTATGATGAGAAGGCAGGAGATGAGGTTAGCATTAAGGATTTGAAGTGGGAGATCAAGAAGGCTTGATGGGCTGTAGTAGCAATTGCAATTAAACCAAACTTTTCCGCAATGTTGTTTTTAAATTGATATTCATGTAAAATAATTTAAATTTGGATACAAAATATTATACAGGCCGATGTGATTCAAATATAACAAATAAAATCCTCTCATATAAACCTCTCATATAAACCTCTCATATAAACCTCTCATATAAACCTCTCATATAAATCTCTCATATAAAGTCAATTTTTGCATTATATCAGACCCCCAACTAATCTCCAGATTCTACATTGTAGTCTGCTATAAATCTCCAAACTCAGAAATATAATAAAGTCGATCTACCCCTCATTAAGCGCCATCACCAACATTCGACAGCCTCGCTTACATAATCACACCCACTCAAAAAGTAACAACCGCCAAGAATGTTCAACATAAAGCTCCAGCCGCGTCGAAGCCCAAGACCCTCGTCCCAGACCAATATACCCACAACAGCGCCAAAATGAGTGTAAGTGCCTTCCACCTCCTCGAAAGCCTCGACGATGCTAATATATCCCAGGTTATGCCAGTTAACCCCCGACCGATGCTACAATCGCTGTGTGTATCCCCCCAAGCCGTCAGCCCAGCCCACCCGCACCACCCCAAGCACAACACGCGGAACGACGATCCTCCCCCCCCATCCCCTAACCGTATTTGCGCATATCTAACTATCAGCAGTGTGAACGAAGAAGTAGTAGTACGCCTCAAGTGGGGACAAACCGAATACAAAGGCATCCTCGTCTCCATCGACAGCTACATGAACATCCAACTCACCAACACCGAGGAGTTTATCGACCAGAAGCTGACCGCCGCGCTCGGCCAGGTGCTGATAAGGTGCAATAACGTGCTATGGATCCAGGCAGCGCCGACGGGCAAGGAGAACGGGGGGGACACGAATATGGAGGGCTGAGTGGGAGGATATCGGAGGATGTTGGGCGCAGATTTCGGAACATGCATGGGAAGGCAGTGAAGCACCTGGGGTGGGATGCTGTACATGCTAGGGGTTCTGGCAGGAGTGAAAACTATACAGGAAGGCAGATACCATAGGTGGTGAATTGAGGCCGGGGTATGGCGTTACGACTGAGCACAAGATAGAGCTTTCATGTAACAAGGGAAAAGGAAAGGCATTATGAATCTTGACTGGCCATATTTGTACTTTGCCGCCCAAAAGTCTGGATAAGTACTGTGCTAAAAAGCAGTGATTATAGTGACTGTGATTAATATAAAGGCTTTCAATCACTCAAGGCTAAATTTGCCATAATAGTCATTCACGGACAGAGCAAAGAAGAAAACATGTGAGCTTAAATCGCTGGTATCAAACCTCACCTGTAGGTAGTCTCAGGCTTTTGACTGGCACGAGTGATTTGTCATGATATTTTCGTGCATTGGCCCTTGTCTACATCAAGCATCCTTGCTTGCGACTGCTGCCTACATCGCTGATACCGACTCTGAGTCGCTTTCGGGGGCCGGTCATAATGAAAGCCTCCACAATCCACTCATACCACACCTTCCTATCATCTGTCTGCCTCCAGATGCTAACCTCCACCTCTGCGTCATCTGGAACGTGTAGCGGGTTCTGTCACAGTTAGAGCTTCCCAATGCAACGAGCGCTATTAAACATACCTTCAAGGGGAAATATATCGGAAACCAACTGATCATATCTTTGCTCTTCGCATCAATGGTATCCGGCCTTGTGCTCAACTCCACAATCTCCCCCACCTCCTCACCATTTGCAGATTTCCTCCGCCCATCGTAAAGCACGGTCTCGAAGTATCCTGCGATGCCGTGTACCATACCCCTGTTCAGGCATACGAATTTACATCTCGAATATCTCGCATTATGATCATTCGCACCATCTCCACCTGCCATACTACCGCCACCACCACCGCTCACACCACCCTGTCTCCGTGCCTCTGCCAACTCAAGAGTGACCGCAGGAAGCGGATGCACAAACTCCCACGCTTGCTGGATGCGAGGGTGGTCAGGGACAGAGGTTGCCAAGAAGTCAATCGCATGGAGCATGACAACATACGGCGTATCTGTCGCATCTGCGTCGTTGACAGCACGGTGGGAGATGTCGGCATGGAGACGAGGAGCCAGAACTGGCGTGAGATGCGCAGTATAGCTGCTCGGAATAGAAATCCCAAACTCAGGAGCCAGAACGTGCTGCACGCCATCAAGGCACTCGGGGCTCAACTCGTTATCGGCAAATGACCCAAGAAGCTCCGACACGATGATGTCGACCTTTCCATACGTCGGCAGCTGTGCTTCAGATGACCCAGAAGCCGTAGTGGTGCCTGACCGACGAAGCGGGCCCTTCCAGGCTCGCATATCCGACTTGACGACATTCACAGCGTTGTCCCAGTCCTCCTCGTTGTGGCGCTGGAGGAGCACATAGGCATTTGGGTTCTTCTCCACCGCCCATGCCTCGATTGGAATGCCTGTTTTGGTAGATGCTCTCAGTGCTCTTGTGACGAGTGGTCCGCGGCCAGAGCCAGCTACCGCGAGGACCACAGCGCCAGATGCGGAGGAGGTGGGTTTGTTCAAGGCCTTCCAATCTGTGAGCGCGAGCGCAATGGCGCGCTCGTACCAGTCGTACTTGATAGGATCTTTCTCGAAGACTTCGTAGGTCACAGACTCGAGGTTGTCAGCCAGCGGCTGCAACGGGGCCTGCAAATAATCCTGGTACCCGGACCCGAAACGTTCAATCACTGACCTGGGAGGCTGGTTGCGTTGGAGGTAGCGGAGGTAAATGAGGTGAGCCGTTTGATCCTTTGCTTTGGACTTTGAATTCTGGCTTTCGCGCTTGATTAAAGAATTGAGGTCGGCTACCACAGGCATGGGTGCCCCCAATGCGTCTGTGATAACACTTGGGGAAGGCAAGCCGTCCGCCACAGGATATGGCTCGTAGGGCTCAACGTCGGGGATTGGCCCAATATCGCAGAGTAACAGCCACGGCGCATGCTTCAGGCGCATATATCGAGAAATGAGGGATTGGTGGCCCTTTCCAAGGACTGGGTGGCCGCCCTTATTCTTCAAGAAGGTTGAAGCATTTAATGAGAGCAATCGCAAAGGCTCAGCGTACCAGCGAGATTGCAATGCTTCAGTTGGAAGCTGACGAGGTATAGCGAGTGCTAAGTGTTTGCATTAGCACCTCTGAGGCAAAACGTAAAGATGAATCCAAACTTCCGAGCCAACAGGCTCATACACAGCGAATGGTTTAAAACAGCGAGGAGACGGATGTATTGAATCGTTTCATTGGTTTCTTACCTACGGATAGTCTTGAGTTGTATTTACATACACTTCGAATGACGTTCCATGCATCCCAGCTGTCGAATAGCTCATCATCTTCATCCGAATCATCTGACAGATATTCGGCTCTAGTGAAAGGTTTCATGTCACCCAGAAGAGGGACGGCGTTGCTGTCTTTCTGGTGATACATAGGGATATGTATGGCCATATGAACATAACCGGCAACGCCGAGGGCCTCATGTACGGCGCGAGCATATCGGGCCAATCCGTCGGTGGTGGCTGCGCTGCTGTTATACTGGCGAGGTCCGGGTATAATGATGTTGGTGATGCCGCAGAAAGAGGCAAAGGCAACTTCCATAGTCAGGACTTGTCTAGATATATTGGAGATCAACGGATCCGGGGATCCCAAGTCGATCCATGAGCTACAGTAGCCAACCAGCTGGCTGACCGTCTCCCCAGGCCCCAATGGAGTATCTGCCGAGTTGAAGGGCGGCAGTATCGGTGGAGGTAGCTCATTCAAAGAAGAGTCGGCGGACTTAGATAATTCGAGCTGGTTTGATAGGAGGGAGAGAACTCGTGAGTGAAAGTGCGGTGTGGTTATTGGACTTGTAAGCATATCATACTGGGAATGTCAGCATCGTTCAACATGGGCGCATAGAGAGCAGCTGCATACCCCAACATCCTGTCCTTGACGCAAGGTTCTCTCCGAAATTGGTAGAGCTCTCCCGGCTTCGTGGTGCCCAACGTAGAACGTTGGCATATAGTCGTCCACCATTGGTGGTCGTGAGGTTTCGGGATCCATTTGGGCTCAGCTATTGGCAACGAAAGGACGCTATAAATGCGCGAGATATGTAGCAACTGGCTTATCGAGTTGACCAGCAATCCTAAAATATACAGTAAGCAAAGGACAAACTATGTGTCTTTATGAAGATTGTTCTGGGCCCATGGCTTTCGTGGGTATGTTTCCTGTAACTTAATCCCTCGAAAGGCTGCTATGGTGGGGGGAACTTTTGACAAGGTAGACAAACCTAGGCGAACACAGATAAAGATTCCCAAGAAAAATACAGTAGTAATATATCCCAATATTAATGGGATATATGGCATTTTGTGAATATTATTTGTACCAATGTGTTATATATAAAAATATGATAATCGAGAATCCACAAACATTCCGAGACACAGGTCCCGTTTGTAGACAATTCCCAGGCCAGCCTGATCACATGATTGTAAATAAAGGAAGGTGGGCCTAGCCACAAACTCACTAGTGTATTCGTGTGGATTATACTTTTTCTTCCAGGCGCCAAAATATCTCAGCCTTGCGCCGAAACCGAACTATTTTTGAAGAGTACGAACTCTTATACCCCCCATAACACCAACTTCACAATGGCTGACCGTCGTCCAGAGAGTGAAGAAATGTCGCGCGCAAAGAGAGCAAAGGTCGATCTCGACCCGAAGGAAAACCCGTACCTCGCCCACATGTACGAGAACAACGAGGAGGGGGGTTACTCGAACGGTCAGAGGCAAAATGGCAACGGCGATTCTTCCATATTGTCAACTTTCACCAGACATGAGACGACTGCTGCGCAAGCCCACCAGGCCGAAGATGGCCCAGCCAACCCTTTCAACAATCAGCCGCTCTCAAACCAATACTTCAACATCCTGAAGACTCGCCGTGACCTCCCGGTCCATAAGCAGAGGCAGGAGTTTCTCGACATGTTCCACAAGACGCAAATTCTTGTCTTCGTAGGAGAGACTGGTTCCGGTAAAACGACCCAGATTCCTCAGTTTGTGCTCTTCGACGACCTCCCACATTTCAGGAACAAGCTCGTGGCGTGTACGCAACCTCGTCGTGTGGCTGCCATGTCCGTCGCGCAGCGTGTCGCTAATGAGATGGATGTGAAGCTTGGGCAAGAAGTTGGTTTCAGCATTCGTTTCGAGGACGTTACGTCTTCAAAGACGATTCTCAAATACATGACCGATGGTATGCTTCTGAGAGAAGCCATGCACGACCACAACCTCTCGCGCTACAGCTGCATCATTCTCGATGAAGCCCACGAGAGGACCCTTGCCACTGATATTCTTATGGGATTGTTGAAGGAGGTTGCTGTGAGACGACCGGACTTGAAGATCGTTATCATGTCCGCGACCCTTGATGCGCAGAAGTTCCAGAAATACTTCAACAATGCCCCACTGCTTGCTGTTCCCGGAAGAACTCACCCTGTCGAGATTTTTTATACCCCTGAGCCAGAGCGCGATTACGTTGAGGCTGCGCTACGAACGGTTCTTCAAATCCACGCAACCGAGCCCGAAGGAGATATCTTACTCTTCCTGACTGGTGAGGAAGAGATCGAAGATGCTTGCAGAAAGATCTCCCTGGAAGCAGATGAGATGGTGAGAGAGGCGGATGCCGGTCCGCTGAAGGTTTACCCGTTATATGGTACTTTGCCGCCTGCCCAGCAGCAAAAGATTTTCGAACCTGCCCCTGCCCCTATACGACCTGGTGGCAGGCCCGGACGCAAGGTCATTGTCGGAACCAATATCGCCGAAACTTCGCTGACAATCGACGGTATCGTCTACGTGGTGGATCCTGGATTCAGCAAGCAAAAGGTGTACAACCCCAGAATCAGAGTCGAGTCTCTCCTTGTGTCTCCTATTTCCAAGGCCTCGGCACAACAGCGTGCTGGTCGTGCTGGTCGTACGCGTCCAGGAAAGTGCTTCCGTCTGTACACAGAAGCTGCGTTCAAGAAGGAGCTGATTGAGCAAACGTACCCCGAGGTTCTCCGCTCCAACCTTGCTAATACGGTTCTGGAGCTCAAGAAGCTCGGCGTTGAGGATCTGGTGCATTTCGATTTGATGGACCCTCCCGCTCCGGAGACCCTCATGCGCGCTCTGGAGGAACTCAATTACCTTGCGTGCTTGGATGATGATGGAGAGCTCACTGAGCTCGGAAAACTTGCCTCGGAGTTTCCCCTGGATCCTGCTCTTGCCGTCATGCTTATCACCTCCCCTGAATTCTACTGCTCCAACGAGATCCTCTCTCTTACTGCCCTGCTCTCTGTTCCGCAAGTATTCGTCCGCCCAGCATCGGCTCGCAAGCGCGCCGACGAGATGAAGGCCCTGTTCGCGCATCCAGATGGCGACCACCTCACCCTCCTCAACGTTTACCACGCCTTCAAGGGCCCGGCTGCGCAAGCCGACCAAAGGCAATGGTGTCATGAACATTTCCTCTCCCTCCGTGCTCTGCAGTCTGCCGACAACGTGCGCCAGCAACTCGAGAGGATCATGCTGAAGTCAGGCCTCGACCTCATCAGCACTCCATTTGAGAACAAGGATTATTATATCAACATCCGCAGAGCTCTGGTGGCTGGTTTCTTCATGCAGGTTGCCAAGAGAGAGGGCAGTGGAAAGACGTATAAGACTGTGAAGGATGACCAGGCAGTGATGCTGCATCCGAGCACAGTGCTTGGCCATGAGGCTGAGTGGGTTGTCTACAACGAGTTTGTGCTTACTACTAAGAATTATGTGCGAACTGTTACGAGTGTTCGGCCTGAGTGGCTTCTGGTATGTTTATCCTGTATCCAAACCGAATCTTGACTGTGTACTGACTGCTTCTGTAGGACATTGCGCCAACATACTATGATCTCGATTCTTTCCCCAAGGGCGAGATTAAGACTGCCCTCATGCGTACAACTGAGAAGATCCGCAGGAAGCAGGCGATGAAGGCTGGGAGATGAGAGGCTCTTCAGATATGAGAATGAATTAGCTTTGGGTAGCTTGAACTGGAAGGCAACTCGACGCGGAGCCGGGTTGCTCTTTGTAACCCATTGGACGGCAAGGAGTAAATACCAACTGTCGCCTTCCAATGCCGAACTGGAGAATATGGAGTTTCAAAATGGGTAGACGGCCGTGTCAATCACGAATAGCCATTGATTGAATCATATTATAGACGAGTCATGAGTTATGGCTAAGCAGACGGAATAGATCACTTAGACTCGACTGAATAATTCAGCCAAAATATACCAATAAGCCAAACTTTGTTGCTATTGACCGTTGAGAGTAACTCATTTGTTAAATAAGGCCCCTAGAAATTGATAATTTAGCTTCTGATCTACCAATTGGGTGGCGGACAAGGGGTGCAAAGGCGGTATCATTTTTAGTCTAGCGCATGCGGCAGAAACATACTACATCCCAAAAAGTTTTCGTTCCGTTAGCTGAGAGGCTAAATAGTCGTCCTCCCGCCGCCACTATCTCTCATTATGTTAACAAGTGTAAACAAACTTATCGCATCCAACTCGCGACTTCGACTACCACTCCTCATAAAGACTTCAACCACCGCAATGATGAAAGAATCCAGAGATCGACCTTCCCAAAGGCGCGGGCCATATAACGCAGCGAAGAGAGATATGACCACAACTGGACCAAGGCGCAACAATGCTGCTCCAGGATCTCAAGAACAATCACCAATTCCGAGAGTGTCTACTCCTCCTTTGGCCGAGCCTGTTCCGCTTGACACGCCGAGATTCGCGGATCTAGGCAAAGAGAACCTCCTCGACCCTATCCTGCTCCAAACTATCACCGAAGACCTCAAGTTCGACCACATGATGCCGGTGCAGGCAGCGACATTACATGACCTCCTCCAGAAGCGAACTGATGTCCTTGCGCAAGCCAAGACTGGTACGGGAAAGACGATTGCTTTCCTCCTGCCCGCTATTCAAACCATGCTCAACAAGGGCAGACAACAAGGTGGCATTTCGCTGCTTGTCATCTCCCCGACGAGGGAACTGGCTATGCAGATTGCAAAGGAGGCATCGGCTTTACTCCAGCGTCTCCCACAATTCAAGGTTCAATTTGCCATCGGCGGTACAAACAAGGACAGAGAAGAGAAGCAAATCCTCGGCAAATGCGATATTCTGATTGCCACCCCTGGACGATTATACGACCACCTGAGCAACCAGAGAATCCGCGACTCTTTCAGGAATCTTGATACTCTCGTTCTTGACGAGGCTGATCGCCTCCTCGACATGGGTTTCATGAACGCGCTGAAGGATATCATCAAGTGCCTCCCAGACAAGGAGATGTCCCAGCGCCAGGGCATGCTCTTCTCCGCAACCATCGCACCGCATGTGCAGAAATTTGCCCATCTTGTCCTCAACAATGAGTACAAATTCACATCCACGATCCCCAAGGGCGAAGTCAACACCCATGAGCGTGTTCCGCAACTCCTGGTCACCGTGCCCACATTCTCCGCCGTCGCACCCGCACTCATCTCGTCCCTACGCTCCGAAATGGCTATTGCCGGGAAGGAGAACTTCAAAGTCATCATCTTCGCCCCCACCGGCTCGCTCGCCGACTGGTACGCCGCCATCCTCTCCTCCCTAAAGGACCTCCCCGAGGTCTCCGTCCTTCACTCCCGTCTCTCCCAATCCAAGCGCACCAACGTCACCGAGGCTTTCCGCAAATCCTCATCCTCCATCCTGGTCGCCACCGACGTCGTCGCCCGCGGCATGGACTTCCCCAACGTCTCCAACGTCTTTCAGGCTGGCATCCCCGCCGACAAGGAATCCTATATCCACCGTCTCGGCCGAACCGCGCGTGCCGGCCGCGAGGGCCGCGCCGTCTTCATCGTCACGGAGGCTGAGTCATTCTTCCCCAAGTACACGCTCAAGGAGATTACATTCGAGACCTCGGCGCCTGATCTTTCCCCCGCTGCCGAAATCGCAAAACCAGCAGCGGCGTTTGATAACAAGGGTAAGGTCTACCAGGCCTGGTTGGGATACTACAAGAACTACGTCAGACAGCTCGGATGGGACCTCGAGAGGCTCGTGGCGGAGGGGAACCAGTTTGCATTCGATGCGCTGGTTGCTGGTGAGGTGCCGGGGATTCCGAAGAGCACGGTGGGCAAGATGGGACTTAAGGGCGTGAGAGGCGTGAATATCGTTGCGAACTTTGAGAAGCCGCCGAGAGGAGGTGGTGGAAGGGGTGGTGGTGAGGGACGCAGCAGAGGTGCTGGTGGTCAGGGCCAGGTTGGCGGTGGCCATGCGAATGCCAATGGTGGTGGACAGGCACCAGGAAGTGGTGGTGGTGGCCAGGGCCGCGGTGGCGGTGCTGGACGGGGACGTGGAGGTGGTGGCAGAGGTGGTGGACGTGGTGGAAGGAGCTGAAGGGAGCGAGGCAATGCAATGACCTGTTCGATGGGTGTGGTTTCTTTTGTTTTGTCAACGGCAATCAATAGACGGCATGTTCAGGGATAGAGGATCTGGAGCACTGGATGTGGGGTGGAAGATACCCTTTCCTTGTTTGTGACTTTCATTGCATAATTAGACTAGCAGATAGAAAAGTTTTGTCTTGGTATACCTGTACGCATGGAGTTCTACTGTAGTTCTATTTCATGCAGCGCTTCTACTATCTCTCATTTCTTTGACAGCTTCTCTGTACAGCTTGCTCTCACGCAGTGATACGCCCTTTTCTCCCAATCGATGCAGTTCCATCTCGTAATATCCAAGTAATTATTTAAACCTCGGCATCTTTTCAAGGCGCTTCATAATATCATACATACATACTTCAATCAATTAAGCAAAAGTACATACACACTGCCAAAAAACAACAAAAAAATAATTTCGTGCGTCGACCGGGACTCGAACCCGGACCGTGAGCAAACAGGGTTTGAAGTCCACGTTACCGCAGACCCCAGCTATTTCTAGAGACTGGGAAGCTCACATTCTACCCTTAAACTATCGACGCAGTTGATTGTGATGAGAACGATAAGTTGAGGTTATAGAGGGGTGAGGACTGGGAATCTTTCTGAATTATATTCCACCGTGAGCGAGACATTGCGATGGAGGAGTTATGATGATGGTACGCATGTTTTATAAACTGACTCGTACGCAGTGGGTTTACTCTAATGTCACCTCTGTACGAGAAAGGAATGACGAGTTTATTCCATTTGGGCTCTGGATATATTTCTTGCCAACAGAAAAGTCACCAGTGGTCTGCTCTTCACCAGTCATCTACAGTATCAAGCCCTACTCCTACTCCGGTGATTGGTAATATAGGAATTGTCTACCAAGTTGCCTTGCCGCTATTCGGAAGATGATTGGAAAGCAATATAAGGGGCATGGCCTGAGTTCCTCTGCAAGCAGGTAGGGTTCTTTCACCGCAGTTCCTCACTAACTGTCCATCAGATCATCAGATAACGAACGACTGACATGCGATTCTCTTACGGCCTCGGCACTCCATTCAATCTTGAGTATATCATATTATATATATCTCGACTCTCACCAGCCTACATAGCTAGACAGTATCGCTCCATCGATGCTCTAGAAGACTCTTGGTGGTTCTTTCAATGTCCACCTGGGATGGAAACCCCATGGGGACCCTGGCTTAAACACCCCCCCCAGAGCGGATCTAGATCCGCACCCTTACCTCACCTCGGTCCGACCATCGGTCTCTCACCACCAACCCCAAAACCCGAATGAAAAAGAGGGGAGAGAGGGAGGGGGATACTGCTGCATACGGATATATATGGATGGGCCTTGTGGGTGATGACCTGCCCCTCCTCCCCGACCTCAAACCCCAAGCCACCACGAGGGAGGATGCTACGGGAGTACGGCACACAGGATCGGTAGCTCCCTCTGTACTCCACGCCCGCGAGAAAAATCGAGCTGCCGATTGGAGTAAAATCCACCGATTGGCGCCCTTCGCGGCGCTCCATGCTCTTTTCACTACGGGGAGGGGGGAGTCATGGCATGCGATTACTGTGATCGGGGCCCCGTCAGAACCGAGCCCGGCCCAGCTCGTCTGGGTTTCTACAACGTTAGCTGGCTTTTAGGACGAGATGGATGACCCATCCAGCCCAGCCTTAAAGGCGCCCAGTCCCGCCCCACGACGACTATTCTTGGGCCGCGGTGATTTTATTCAGTTCTTTATTTTCTATAGTGACCTTGCTTGTCCGTGCTGCTGCTCCTCCTTGTTGTTTAATGCTTCCTATGGGTTGAATCACTGCCATGACCACCTCTGTCCCTTCCACACAGGCATCCATCATCCTCGATGAGAAGGACTTAGAAGCCTCCGCCGAGCGTAGAAACAGAATCCTGAGCCACCATGGCAAGGATGACCTACTGCCGGCGCCCACGCGCGAGGCCATCCTCGCCGTCCCTGGTCTAACTGCTGATCTTGAGGCTACGGGTGTTTACATCGTCAGCTGGGATGGCCCAGACGACAAGGCCAACCCGCTCAACTTCTCAGCTTCTCGAAGATGGCTCACAGTAGCCAACGTCAGCCTCATCACCTTCATCACGTAGGCCCAACCCCTCATGCACCCCCCAAAAAATCCATATCCATATCTAACAACACCCCCTAGCCCTCTAGCCTCCTCCATGTTCGCCCCCAGCGTCCCAACCCTCATGAAAGAATTCGACGTCCAATCGCCCCTCCTCTCCGCCTTCGTCGTCTCCGTCTTCATCCTCGGCTTCGTCATCGGCCCCGTCGTCTGCTCCCCCCTCTCAGAGCTCTACGGCCGCCTCCCCATCTACCATTGCTCCAACGTCCTCTTCTTCCTCTGCACCATCGCCTGCGCCGAGGCAAGGTCCTTGAACATGCTCATCGGCTTCCGCTTCCTCGCCGGATGTGCAGGAGCCGCTGCGTTGGCTATTGGAGGCGGTACTATCGCTGATGTGATTCCCGTCCACCACCGCGGGAAGGCCATGGCCCTCTTCTCCATGGGACCCGTCCTTGGCCCCGTTGTAGGGCCCGTGGGCGGCGGATTCGCAGTCCAGTCACTGGGTTGGCGCTGGATCTTCTGGATCCTCACTATGCTCTCTGGCTGTGTCACGCTGCTGACATTTGTTGTTATGCGGGAGACGTTCGCGCCGACGCTGCTTGGACGCAAAACTACGCGCATGCAGAAGGCTTATCCTAAGTACAAATTCCGCTCGCAGTATCACACTGGTATGAAGGCTAGTGCCTATCTTCGCCGCTCGCTCGTGCGGCCACTGCGCATGCTGGTCAATCCGATAGTTCTCATACTGTCGGTATACCTCGCAGTTGGCTATGGATACCTATACATCCTCTTCACGACATTCGCGATCGTCTTCAGGGACCAGTACGGTTTCTCACCAGGGGCTGTGGGATTATCGTTTCTGGGCTGTGGTATTGGTTCCTTGTTGGGGGCAACGCTTTATTACTTCATGAGTGATAGAATCTTGGATCGGCTGTCCCAAGCAACGGGACCTCAGCCTGAGCATCGTGCCCCGGCTATGTGCCTTGGGGCTATTTTAATGCCCATTGGACTGTTCATGTACGGCTGGGCAGCTGAGAAGCAAGTACACTGGATTGTGCCGATAATTGGCACTGGAATATTTGGCCATGCGCTGGTCATGATATTTGTAAGTACACCGAGAATGCACGTTATAAGTCCCTGCTAATGATCACCCCAGCAATCTATATTGAACTATATTGTCGACACATTCGACATCTATTCGGCATCGGCTCTGGCCGCGAATATGGTTCTGAGGTCTCTCGGCGGGGCGTTTTTGCCGCTGGCTGGCGAAGATATGTATGCTGCATTGGGACTTGGATGGGGCAACTCTCTTTTGGCATTTATTGCGGTTGCCCTCGTACCAGTGCCATTTGTCATTTTCAAGTACGGCCATCGCATAAGGGCAATGGCAACTGTCAAAATCTAGAATAAAATTAAATGGAATAATCTAGGGTTAATAGGCTTCTACTTCTCTATGGGCTTCGTATTATGAGCCTAGAGTGCCTCGGCGTGGTTGTGTTTGCTGGCATGAATGAGTGTTAGCGATCTGAAAGTATGCATTGGGCAAGGGAGACTTATCGAAAAAAAAAAGGGAACGATACCTCAGTTAGAGATACCGCTTTCAAGAGTCCATCCAACTCATCACAGCATCCCAAGGCCTCGAAAGAAAACCTCACTAGCATCAAAACTAAACCCTTCCCCACAAGTGTGGACAGGCACTAAGCCTTGACTCCAACTCGAGATGGGTCCCACACAAGCGGTTTCGGGCCGTTCTTTAACTAGTGATGCACCGGAGGGCAAGGTCAGTCGTGTGAGCAAGAGGAGTGGACTCGCCACCGCAACTACACCAATTTCACCCCTGGCATGCATCCTGGCGAATATGCTCCCGTAGGCCTCCTTCAAAATACTGTTTTCCCGGAAGAGGCGCACAACTCCGACAGGCAACCGGTCCACTGTCAATTCGAAGCTCGGGTCCAGATCATCATCGCGCGGAGAACCAGCAGACTTCTCTCTGTTTGTAAGCAATGCCCTCAGAGATAAGTTTTTCGATTCCTCGCTTGGAATAAACAAGCGGGCACAAACGGACAAAAGACATCAACAAAAACCGTGAAGGCACGAACAGAAGCTTTGGGGGCGACTGGTCGCGCGGTGGCCAATTCCAAGAAGGAACTGACGTTGTGTTGGCGCCCTCCAGTCATCTCATGGACAGGGCTATGAGGAGAAGGTTGATGCAGCTGATCGTGACTTTTATGCAAGCATCAACAACGCCTGTGGCTGTTGCCTTGGCAGAGGTTTCTTGGGCTTATTAATGGTCGTCAAGGTACGATGGGGTGGATACAGTGATTGACAAAGTAGTCAATAGGAACATATGGAATGCTTCCCTGAACTGAATTCGCAATCTGCCATCCCTGAAGTCATTGCAACAACGTCGAGCTTTGGGCAATACAGGAGCCAAACAAATACAGCCATTTCTTGGTGAAGCCAAGTACCACCTTCTGCACCATCTCTGTATGAAGACCTGAAATCCTGCTAACTGGCAGAACGAAACTAGGTCATTCAAGGCTGGAAGCTCTCTGTATGGAAGCCATCGAAACCTCGCTCTGCCAGATTCTGACAATTCCCACGAGTTGGATCGAGGCAAGAATGAGAGAATAGCCAAGGAGATGGTGTAGAAGGCAGTATGTATGTAGGAAATGTATTTGAGCTCTACCGAGACTCATCGGTCGAGGAATGTCAACAGAATTGATAGGCAGAAAGTTGTCAAAGACTCTCATCGAAATCAGTCTAGTCGAAAGCACCCGAATATAACCTCCACACCGAGAGTTGCATATATGTAACCAACACGTATATCCCACCGCACCAATGACTTGAGCACCAAAGAAACAGTCGGGCCTTGATCAGAGTATAACGCCCAGCAGACGAGCCTGACGAGCTCCCTCGCGGAGGGTATTACCAGAATGGCTCATAGAAACATCTCTTTTGTGTCCGAAGACTCTAGGCTCCCCAGCTTGTGTTTCGGCCCCTTGGTCTTCCATTGCGCCACTTTTCAGCTTAACAAGTTTCGTACCAAGAGACGTAGTAAACAAGCCGAGCAACATATCCGCAAAACTAGAAAAAACCAACGATTACTTAGGGTTAAGTTCCAATACCCATTCCCAACTCCAGTCCATGTTGCCCGCCCACCGGGGGGGGCTGCAACCAGACGCGGAACCGATCGCGGCATGCTCAAAGTGAGGCTCGCGTGGAGCTCGAGGATGCGACGCCGCGAGAGGTTGCTGAACCGGAGAAGCGGCCAGAGGCATTCCTTTCGGAAAATGAGTACCGGATGACTGTGGAGAAGGCGCGTTGCTATTTTGTGACCTCATGGTACAGAGGTTGAGAGAAGTTGCCAGTGTGCGATGATGATGATCTGGGCCACGAACCCCAAGCTGCCAATGGATTGGGTCCTGTAGTTGAGAAGTTGAGTCCTCTGCCGGTCGAGTATTCCTAGTGAGGATCTAAAGGGAGCATATTGGCCAAGGCAACATGTCGGGCGCTTTGAAATTGGCGATGAGTTGCAAATAGGTTGGAGGAGGAAGGTAGTGGTCACCAGCCAGGGAATATATGAAGACGCGAGTAAAAGACGCGTGATCACGTGACATCCCAATACGAACTAAGTCAGTTAACTAACTTAACTAAGTTAACTTAAGTGTGTTAACGTACTCCACAAGCGAGCGGCGCACACAAGTGAGTGGCGCACGCATCACGAATTCTATAACTCTAGAGGTTAATTTCACAACAATACAATTTATTAAACCCTATAGAACTACCCTAATTAGAAACCTCCCTTAATGGACACGTACGGGCAGTATGCGCGAGTGATTTACACATACTACACGTCCGTGGTGCACGAGTTTGTGGCTCTGTAGGTTGACCTGCAACCCTACCTACAATATCTATATCTGCTGTTTGTAGTCGATCTAGACCCTCCTGGACTGTCAAAACACCTCCTTTAGCTACATACGACCTCCTTACTGCTCTCTTCTTCTTTTGTCTTTCATTTTCGGTCCGCAATTGCTTGTTTTCCTCCGTTAGAAGAGCCGCATTATGCATAGCCATTTGACAGCCTTTAACTAGCTGCTGGAACGCCTGATCTGTAGGACTTGATAAACCTGCTGTACGACGTTGAATGCGCCCCTTAATTGCTGTAGCCTGAAGCTCTAATTGACTAGCATTATGAGGCGTTTCGGGTACCCAACAGTCTCGTAGGGCAGGAAGAAGCAGAGGTGGAGTTGGCGTCCGTAACTGAGTATTAAGCTTTGACAGCACTCGTTCTGGGTCGTACGGGACTAGACCTGTAGCTGCAAACCCACTACGGACCACATTAAGGGCCATAGACTCTTTGCGGGCCGAAAGGTAGGCTGTAAGGAAATCCGGTTTGTCAATATGGTTTAGTCCAACCCGCATATATCTTTCAATTTGTTGTCCGTATGACCGTTTTAGAACTGCAAAACAGCTAACGTCTAATGGCTGTAAGAGATGTGATGAATGCGGCGGCATGCAAAGCGTAATAATTGAGTGCTCGGAACAGAATAGGTCAAACTCTGGAGTCGAATGGCTCCCGTGTCCGTCGAGAATAAGAAGCCGATAAACCCCCTTCGTACGGTCCTTTGTATGCTTCTGAAAGACGTCCGTAAGCCAAGCAAGGCCTAGAGAATCGTCTGTCCACCCGTTTTCACTAACTGCAATTGTCCAGTCTAAAGGCAAAGTGTCTGTGTACCAAGTCGATATATGAACCTTGCCCTCAAAAATAACCATTGCTGGCAAGCTCCATCCGTCTGAAGATATTGATTCAATAACAGTAACCCATTCACGGTTCCCTGGCTGTACGCAAACTGGCTTGCCAGCCCGCTCAGAACCTGTAATTACCTTCGCGGTCGTGACTACTCCCATTTGAAACCCAGTCTCGTCAAAGTTGTAGATGTCCTCCTCTTGAATCCCATATTTAGCAATTGTATTCCGTACAAGCTGAAACCAGTCCCGAATAATCGTAGGATCTTCGCATTTTGCCCGCTGATAGTCGTATTTACGGGTGTATTTTGATTGGAGGGAGTTGTGTCGTCGTACGAAATTATAAACCCAGTTCTGGCCAACTGTAGGAGTCTGATCCTGGTCTGCGTCAGTCCGTTTTTGAAGAAGTAGATTTGCCATTTGTCGAAAGGAATTAGCTCTAAGTGGTAGGCCTCGTTCCTCCATAGATAATATCCATTGGATAAGTGTTAACTCCTCAGTAGCTGTAAGTTTGAGGTTTGCGGACCGTAAATCGCGTCGCGCGGTCCGTCCTTTAACACGCGCTCGCAGAGTGGACTCAGGAAGATCGTACGCGACCGCAGCACCTCTAACACTCGTAAAATGGCCGTTTTTATAGGCTTGGAGTGCAAGAGTCATTCGACCCTCTTTGTGGATTAATTGCAGGTCAATTGGTTGAGACATATTGATTTAAAGGATACTATACGCGTTAGAATTCGTGATGCGTGCGCCACTTACTTGTGTGCGCCGCTCGCTTGTGGAGTACGTTAAGTTATCAGACATTAGGTAATCATTGCTTACCTAATCCATGGAGACGACAACATAACATAGGAGTTAGGAGTAGTGTCAACGTCAAACATAGAAGCAATATCAAATATGAACTTTGCAAGGGGTTTATTATTTCCTTTCTTATATGGACGTGTACGTATGGAGCTTCCAGAAGTCTGTTGAGGCTTCAGATGCACAACAGTACTCAGTAGGAAACAGAGAAGCATATGCTATTGGGGAGGGGGCTCATTTCATAGAGTATGGGATTCAAGATAAGTGAATTTTTGTCTACCGTCTCTCTCTCAGATTATGCTTCCCACGTAGGCCAGTATTATCAGGTCTCACCATGTGAGATCGTGTGATTGTTATGCCCCCTTTCTGGCCTCTATATTACATGATCCGTACGGCTAGAGGTTGAAACATGGAATCTTTATCACGGGGATCATATAGCATATCTTCCGGCGCGCGTCTTTTCATTTTTAATATCTGTTATTTAAATGTTTGTGTGCAGGAAGTGCTGTGCAGTATTGAAATTGTTGGCGAGAGTTGCACCTTCTTTGCCGCCTCTCTGCTCCCTCTGTCTCTGCCTTTGTTGTCGTACATAACCCCCTTCTTACCCTCCGTCGCGCTTTCCCCCACAACAACCTTCTTACTTTGCACCTTTCTGCACAACAACAAACTCTACATCGCATCTCCTTGCTTCCTCTTCTTCCTTAATTTCATCCCTTCGCCACCAAACCCCCTTCCCCCAAAATTTAAACTTGTTGATACCCCTTTCATTCAAACCTGCTGGATGCTCAAGATCGAACCCCTATCAATGTCAGCCACTGAATCCAGTCGCTCAAGCGGCCAGATTTTAAAAGAGCTGCGCTACTCGAGGGAAAATTTGCTCTTCTTGCGAGACCAATTACCTGTAATCATTTGCGACGTTACAAGGATGAATAATGCCAGTGCTGGTACGTGTTCACGACTGTCCATGACCCTACTGGCCATCCAGAAAGTCACTAACACATACCCTCCCCCAGATTTGCTACGATTGCCATCACAAATAATGTCTGATCCTGGCCTCAAGTCGTGCCCTACAAGGGTTTTGCGACGTGTCCCAAACTTCAAGAACAGAGACGATGTTGGTGGCTCTGGAAACAGTCGTCTTCACAGACACAAGATCTCTTTGGAGTCCGACGAGGAAGAGATTGTGTACCGTGGACATCCAATCCGCCACTCTCTCAAAGAAACCCAATGGCAGTTCAAGCGTCGTGATGACTCTGATAGATCGAGCCAGCCTCTCTCCGCACCACCCGGATACCATGCGCAGAAGGCCGAAAACTTCCAGAAATTCTACCGTGCCGTTGTTTCGCCAACACACGTTCGAGTGACAGCTGGCGGCCGAATTGTTCCAAATATTCGTGCCCCCCCACAGCCGGTATTCGTCTGGAACCGTGACAAATTATTCTTCGAGGCGAAGCAAGACAAGAAGGCTCCAGGAATCGGAGATGCAAACTGGCAAGAAGGTGCAGCTTTGAGACCCTCCGACCCAAACCAATTGCCTATCAATAACCCAACCACAAATGCGAACATTGCTACTGCTCCACCCTCTCACTCTTTAGAGAAACTATTAAACCCCGGCACCGTACAGCCGTCGACAATTACTGAGCCGCAGGTTCTAGCTCCTGTCCCAACTCTTCCGAATGTCTCGGACCAAAACAACTCGGCTGGCCCTCACCCGATCAAGCTGTCTCCGCCAGGCCAATTCGATATGACAAAGCCTTTCATGGTTAATGGGCAGATGGTTTACCCTCTCCCATCGGACTTTCAAATCCCCCACGGCGTTCCTGTGATCCCATTCAATATGCTTGGGAATACGATTCCTCTGCAGAATCTACAGCCTTCCCAATACCCTCAAATGCCGCTTCACCACGGCTTGTTCAATCCCACAGAGCCTTCTCTGGGCCAGGCACAACCAATTCCCTATAATAACCCGCTCACGACGCCACCAATCGTGCAGAACCTTCCACAAATTGGTTTTGGAGGCATACCGCCTATTATTCCTCATTCGAAGGTGGGAGACCGAAGTGGTAGCAATAACAGGCTGGTGGCTATGCCGCCTCTACCCGGTCTTGATCACCCTCCATATAATCAGCCAGGGTACGTGAAGCAAAAGATAAAGTCGCTCCAAGATGAGATCAAGAAGTTCGATCATCAGTTGGATCACAATAAGCACCAAATCGATGAAATCCATGTCAAGAAGCAGCGGTTCTATGTTGAGAGCCAGATCCAAACTCTTGAAGCAAGTTTGGCCCTACTGCCTTCAGAGGATTTCAATCACTCTTTTCCAGGAGCTCATCCTCGGCCTCTGGCACCACCCATCCCAAGTTGGGTCGCTACACCAGTTTACCACCCGAGAAGTTTCGATGGAGTATATGATCAAGGGCCGCTTCACCAACCCGCGTCATCGAGGGTGATAAATCGATCCGAGCCCTTTCATAATCCCGCTCCTGTGCCAGCTTACAAAGCTTCGGTCGCCAAATCCGCTCAGCCGAGCCGAACGCGCTTGAGCCTCTCTGCGGCAAAGGCAGCCCCTTTCAAGCCTAGGTCTCAGCAGGGTTCGCAGCCTGCTTCTGTTGTTCAGCAACCTGTTGTGCAGCCACATACTGCACCGTGCGAGGTGGGCGAAACTAACAGCATCATACTGGGCGAAACCACTAGTACCCCAGCAGAACATGGCCAAGATATAGAAAGCCGCCTGAAAGGCACGGGCAATGCATGGGCTGGGCCAAAGGGTGCGGACAACCATCCCATGTCGTCGTCAAACACTACATTGGTTGAAAATCCGGAAGCTCTCGAAACCCAGAACTACAAAGGTCGCCATTTGATGCTACCAGGACAACCCCAGGACAATGGGTCTACGCCAGTGCTTGCAGATACTCGTGGTTTGGGCTCGGCTTCCCATCATACCCCGATGCCGTATTTGATGGGATTTCCTCCGCCTGGAGTACCGTGGAAAGAGGCTCGATCTCACGAACTCATGTATACGAGACCTCTCACTCCTGAAGAAGTTCGTGCTCGACACTTGTACTGGGGCAATGCCAGCAAGGAATTCCTCAAGGGCCTACCGAAATTTGACGGCCAAGACTTTTATCCGCCATCCCCACAGAAGGGACCTGCTCTTCCGGTCGGCCAAGGTCGCCACAGTGAGGCATCAACGATCATTCGGAAGTCAAAGGATAGTAGTGCCACGTCCAAGGAACAGGGGTTAGGCGAAGAATCACAAGCTCTAGTTCTTCGAACAGAGGCAGTCGTGGGTGGTAGAACTTCGCCAGACAAGAATGTTGCCCTGCACGACGACAATGATGATGTGGTATCTGTAGACTCATGGGGTGCTTCTAAGAGCGTGTGCTCTCCCCCGCAGCATGGCTCGAAAGTTGTGGCGAAATTTAACAAGCCCTATAGCGCAACCACGTCGGCGTTTCTACTCGGGATGCTTAAGAATAGCCCAGCCGTGTCTTCACCACTTTCTGGGTTGTCATCAACGCATGCTGTAGGATGCCTTCCGAACTATGGCGGGACTGCAATTCTCTCACTGGCTCCAGGACCAAGGCAACGCTCATCGTTCACATTTGACGCCCCAACCGCCAAGGTTGTACGGTCTGCTTCTGGTCTTTCGGTTCGACATGAAAATCGGCCGCCATCAAGGGCAGGGTCCGCGTCAGTGGGGGGGTATACTGCCGCCGAATTTCTAGCCAAAGTTAACCGTCAAAACGAGGAACGCCAGGGCAACGCCGAGCAAGATTGGAAAACTGCGGCTAATGGAGTTGGGTCTGTTGCCAACTCGAGCTGGTAATTCTAATGTAACTATGGAGCTGCCTTATCAAAATTTCCGGATTCTGGGTCACCAGTTGCCTTTCGAGTTGTTGGGGAGGGAAGTTATATGTTTCCATACATACATATCCAAGGTTCTTGTCTTCCGGATTTTCTTCGAGGGGTGTTTGTATCGGTCATTGCGGTTCACAACTAATACGACATTCCACCAGTATGAATACGCCTTCGCTGCAATTCTAATTGGGGAATTGTGACGTGGCTTTGAATAGCATTCCTACGGTGGATGTTTCTCTTTTATCAAGGGCGTTCTGTTCAGGATTTACTGGCATAGCATACATTACTTGTGGTACGAAGGAGACTCTTGAGGGTTGGGTTTCGGTATTTTCTTTTCACGCTTAATATTTGCTTTTACTTGTGGTGTACTGGAGTCATTGGGGAGGAAGAATATATATATGGTATGGTAGTGAATGGGTGAGGGGGTTTATTCTGAACAGTGGTATGGTGGAGGAGGAAGTTACCTTGTGCTTTTCGGCATGATAATAAGGGGGTGTATGGGGGGATTATAATTGCCGGATTGAAGAGGTCAGCATTCATTGTGTAAGAGTAGCAGAGAAATAAAAATATTTTTCCAATATGCGGCTTATGGGGGTGTTGAGTGTGGTTGATTGATGTTTGATTAGCAGTTATATGTATGATGTTGCGCCTGAAAAACATAGTATTTGCGAGGATTCTATGACCTTGCATTCTGTATATACCAAATAGGCCACCCAATATGATTCAGGCATTACTCTCCTCGCCATTCCTGTCTCCAGTGCAAAGTGAAGAGCCACATGGATGATAAGACCTATGCAAGCAAATATTCTACCCAAAAATTCAAAATTGCGCCATTATCTGACGTAGACCGAGCAGCTACTTTAGATACCCCCAAATCTCGGTATGTGTTTGTGTGTGTGTAGTTTATAGTCCCGCAGACTCTCTGTATCCCCTCCTCCGCTCTAGCAAGCATATATATGTAACCTCTATCTCTCTCTCTCTCTTTATACCCCCCTCTTTCCCACATCATTCTACGCCCTCTCCCCCCTCAACTCCTCCTCAACCTGCTTCACTACAATCTCCCTCACACCCTCCCACCCCGCACCAGCAGGTACATCCGTAACTCTCCTCTCCTTCTCCGCGAGCCCGACAAACTCCTCCGGCAGCACACTGGAGAAATCGAAATCCCGCTCCTTGAGAGCGACCTCTACTGCTCCCGCGAACTTGGCCGGATGCGCGGTGGCGAGGGAGATGTGCGGTACGCCTTCTGCACGGGACATGCTGCGCAGCGACGCGGCGATGCCGACGGCGGAGTGGGGGTCGAGGACGTATTTGGCGCTGTCGAAGAAATCCGCGATGGTGGCGGTGGTCTGGGCGTCAGTCACGCGCTCGCTGTCGAAGTCGCGCTGGGCGAACTTGAGGATGTCGGCGTTGACGGAGAAGCCGCCCTGAGACTTGAGCTGTGTGTGCCATGCCGCGACTTCCTGACCGGCTTGCTGCTTCGTCCATTCATCGTCCATGCCGGCACCGCTGGCGTACTCGTACGCGAGGAACCAGAGGAGACGCTCGAAGTTGGAGGAGACGAGGATATCCATCGCCGGGCTCAGGGTCTCGCGGACACCATCGGTATGCGCCTTTGCGCCATCGACAGCGAGTCCCTCAGCCGCGGAGGGGGAGTGAGAAGGTTTCTTCTCGTAGGTTCCAGTGCGCCAGAAGCGGTCGAGGATGTCGTTCTCGTTAGTCGCGCACACGAGCTTGTCAACGGGGAGACCCATGCGCTTGGCGAAGTAGCCAGCCAGGATGTCGCCGAAGTTGCCGGTGGGCACGACAAAGCGCGGCTTTGCGGAGGCGGGGATGCGCTTTTGGAGGGCGAAGTAGGAGGCGAAGTAATAGGTTGTTTGGGCGAGGATGCGCGCCCAGTTGATGGAGTTGACGGCGCCAAGCTTTTGGCTGGCGTTGGTGATGGGGTCGGCGAAGAGGGCTTTGACAGTGTCCTGGGGGTTGGGTTAGTGGGGTGAGGTGGGGTGGGGAGGGGTAGCGGTGGGTGAGACATACTTGACAATCGTCAAAGGTGCCCTCGACGGCGAGGTTGTGGATGTTGGCATCGAGGACGGTGGTCATCTGGGCCTCCTGGACTGGGCTGACGCGCCCCTTGGGGTGCAGGATGAAGACTGAGACATCCTTCTTGCCGCGCAGACCGTAGATGGCGGCGGATCCGGTGTCGCCACTTGTCGCACCGACGACGGTGAGATGATGCCTGTCCTTTCCGGTCTTGCCCTCATTGCGCCTCACGAGGAAATACTCAAAGAGGTTACCGAGTAATTGCAGCGCAACATCCTTAAACGCCCACGTCGGGCCGTGGAATAATTCCAGCAGGTACAGGTTCTTCTCCTCGTCGAGCGGGACGAGGGGGGTGGTCTCTGGTGCGCGGAAGGTGGAGTAACTGCGATCGATGATCTCCTTCAGGTCGGCGGAGGGGATCTCAGAGGGCGAGATGTAGAGCGAGAGGATGGCGTGGGCGAGGTCGGCGAAGGAGAGGTCGCTCCAGGCGGACTCCCAGTCGGCGGGTAAAGAGGGGATCTCCCCGGGAATGAAGAGGCCACCGTCGGAGGCGAGGCCTTTGAGGACGACATCTTCAAAGGAGAGCTGGAGAGAGAGATATTGTCATCAGCGACTGTGTTAATCAATTTATCAAAGAGACGTCAATTGGTGGCGTACGCTGTATTCCCCGCCGCGTGTGCTTAGGTAGCGCTGCGAGGGGGTGTGGCTGGCGATATTTGCTTTTTTTTGTGAAGCCGCATTCGCATTGGCGGCGGCGGTGGCGAGCTTGGAGGGGACATCGCCCGTGAAATGGACAGCGCTGGGAGCCATAGTTTGGAAGAATGGGAGAGATCTCGAGATAGGACGAGGATCTGGAGATGGTTCGGAATATGGGGAAGAGGGCCAGAAGGGTGCGATGCGGTATTTAATATGAGTCAAAAATGGAAATAAATACATGGAATTTAAATCCATTAATTGGAATTGAATTTCCGATTCACCGTATGGTTCCGGCGTAAGCCAAGTTTTGCCAGTTTCTCACGTATTTTCTGCCATTTTGGCCCGATTTCGGTGGCAATGAAGGAGGTGAGAAGGCGCTAAGCTGGATTGGGGGTGGCGTGTTGGACTGGCTGTGGTAAAGGATCATGTCACTTTATGTCGCACTCCAACTCTCCTCTCCATCCTCATCTCCAGCTCATCATCTCCAGCTTCATATTATCCAAATGTAGGCCTTCCTCAGCCCATGTGCTCGTGCTCATGCCGTGCTATTCTATATATGCAGCGCTGCACAGTTACTCAGCCGCCTTGCAAGGATGACATTCACAACATGCGCCCCGTCCCTCTCAGTGCTGGTAAGTTACTCGTCGCACTCTTGATGCAGCTTCTCAGACTAATCATACCACGGGCAGAGAGGCTACACGCATGCACCTTTGCCCCCATTTCCTCACCGAGTTTTCCACCCCCCAGCCAATCGCTGCGCCTGCATACTCCCAATCCTAAGCACTCACACATGCAAGCGCACCCAATCAATAACGCCCTGCGAGGAGCCCCGCCTGGCAGCCGAACTGTAGCCTAGCCTTCCGCTCAGCTCTCAGCCACAGTTCCACATGTTTAAAAAGTCTCAAGAGACGAGCGTATGACGCTCATGACACGGACAACGTGTTTATGCCCTGCAACTACGCTCAATGGGTTCCTTCCGCAGCTCAGCGCCAGATTTGAATCCCAAGGACGAATTCCTCACCGACTTCATGGCCGGCGGGAAGCAGCATCGGAGGAAGAGTGCTACCATACAGCGATGTGCCTATGGAGAAGGCTGTCGGACGGTGGTCACCTCGAAGAACATGGGGACCGTGCCGATGCCACGGCCTCGGATTTCTGTGATATTCGTACGTCGCCTTTGTAAATTAAACCTCCAGATATGCATGTACATATTTACTCCCCAGTGCCACGCTAACGTTCATTTTGCTCCAAGATACTTGTATCGGCTTCCAAGGCGAAGCTCCATGCTTCAACAAAGTGATAAAAAGCGGAGTGACAAGATGTGTAGTCCATGAGTGCCACGACTCCTCAGGCACCATGTTCTATTGATTGGAGAAGCCACCCAAGCTGTTCTTTGCAATCCATGGCTCCTAACCGCCCCAACTTCATAAATACTCACCCGGCCTAGACTACCAATGCACTATTACTGGTTGCTCTGAACAACGAGTAGGATCTCCAAATGGGGGATGGTGGGACTGCTGCGCGCATCGTAAATAAACACATTTGAGAGCCTAGAGTGAGAGCATGATTAATAACCAATCTCCAGATCAATGCGACGCGGACGGATGCTATGCTTCCAGAAAATACAACGTCCTGAAGGGAAGGCATTTTATATACTGCCCGAAGCGTAAGCTCCAATCGACATCATCTACAACCAGTAGTCTCACATTCTACAGACAAATGCGTGAGAGAAACCTGCACACGAAGTCACCCATCGCGGCAACAGCACTGCACCGCACGTACGTACGAGATTCTACTTCAGCACACTGACACTAACGGCAACCAGACACGTGCTCCAAGGAAGGCTGCAATGTTATCGTAGACGGAGCTGCAAAGATAAAATTAAGTCTCACGCATGAACAGACATGAAATGCGCGCACAGTAGTTGCCCAAGCAACCGAATACGAAAGGACGGGGAATACCAGCCGTTCTGCTCATGTCGTATGCCTTCCATCTTCTGAACCCTCCCTGAGCGGCAACGGAACCCTAACCACCCTCACAGACACGGCATGCACGAGCTCTCAATGCACAAGAGACAAGAAACGAAGCTCCGAGTTTTGCAGCCTGCGTAAGTCTCCCTATTGCCAGTCATGGTATCGACTCTAACGTACATAGACACCTGCCACATCGGCGACTGCAGCAAACGCTGTATTGGCGACCACTTCTACTGCAGTGATCGTAAGCCTCCTGTCTCCCGTCAGCTACCCAGACCCCAACTGACACTTCAAGATATCTGTGAACTCGACATGTGCCGTAACCCGCGAACATTCTATTTAGAAAGGGACAACGTCGTGCTTACCCGCTACTGTCCCATCCGTACGTTCCAAGCAATGCCATGCAAAACCACAATAGGAATAAGAACTGAAGCCTCTCAGATGAATACTGAATTGCCATCTCAGTGCCCGCAATCAAACATATGGGTACTGCCGAGCGCGTATGTAGCCCCCGTCTGCACAGTCAAGATCTCTACTAACAAACCCCAGATAACTGCGAAATCTCAAGCTGCAACAACCTCAAAATGATCGACCCAGACAGCTACCCACCCCTCACCATGTGCGGACAGCGTAAGCACCCCTACCCTCCCTCCCCTTCACCCAAACTAACAACACCACACAGAGTACGACGAATCCCTCGACCCCCCTCCCCTTCCCGGCTCCCCCCGCACCGCTCCCCCACCCGACGCCATAACCTTCAAAACCCTCTCCTCCCAACTCGCCAAGCTGCAACGCACAGCCGATAACATAGAGGCGAACTCCTATTTCAACAACGGCGGCGCTGGAGTCGGGGGCGGTGGGGGTGGGGCAGGAGTTGCCCAAGCGAGGGCGGCGGAGGAGGCGGCGGAGACGAGGAGGAGGTTGGAGGAGGTGTTGAGGCAGCAGGGGTGGGGCAGGGGGTGCCCAAGCGAGGGCGGCGGAGGAGGCGGGGGAGGCGAGGAGGAGGTTGGAGGAGGTTGGAGGAGGTTGGAGGAGGTTGGAGGATGTTGGAGGAGGTTGGAGGAGGTTGGAGGAGGTTGGAGGAGGTTGGAGGAGGTTGGAGGAGGTGTTGAGGCAGCAGGGGGGGTTGATGCATAGTCTTAGGCAGCAAGGGGGGAAGGTTAATGCTATTTGGGAGGAGTTGGTGGGGAGGGGGAGGGGGTTTGGGGGGCAGATATAGGGGAGTGGTGTTGGGGGAGACTGTGGGAGAGATGTAAGGGATGAGTGAAAAGGGGAGAGATATTGAGGGTGAGATATTGAGGGTGAGATATCGGGGGCTTGTTAGCTTCAACGGCGGTGGGAGGCATGTATTCTTTATAATGAAATATGTCGTTGTATACTTTGAGTCAGTAAATATGCAACAGTTAAGCACAGTCCAGTATCACATTCAGTAATCACATATACACTGTAGTTTAAAATGAAGTGTGGAAATCATCGTATTCATTGCTATCAGTGATGCTACAGCCATATCCGACCATAGTCCATCGCAAACCACGCATTCCGACTCCCAACCCCGACCCGAAAGCCCATCCCAAACAACATTTACTTGAGGGGAATGAAACGGGAAGAGTGGGTGGCACCAATACCGGGCCGACCGTGCTTGACTGGGTGGCTGTTTCGCTTGTTAGCGACTGTTCCCAAACGCAACTCACAAAAAGGGCTCAAGGTAAAACTTACTAAGAGATAGAGAACTCGGCGAGGTAGTGACCGACCATCTCCGGCTTGATCTCGACCTGGTTGAACTCCTTTCCGGAGTAGATACCGATGACCGAGCCGATCATCTCTGGGACGACAATCATGTTACGCAGGTGCGTCTTGACGAGGTCTGGCTTCTCGTTGGGCTTGGCCTCCTGCTTAGCCTTACGGAGCTTCTTGATCAGACCCATGGGCTTGCGCTTGAGTCCGCGGTTAAAGCGGCGACGCGCACGCGCGTGGACGATGTCGCGCAGCTGGTCGGAAGAGAGGTCGAGCAGTCTGAACGAGGGTTAGCTGGGGGCTCCCCTTTGTGTTCTGGACGTGCTGTGTGACATGTGTGTATGGGTTTTGGTATGGGTATAATGGGGATATGAAGAATTCGGGTTATATGGGTGTGGGAGGTCGTACTGCTCGAGGTCTACGCCACGGTAGGAGAACTTGCGGAACGCTCTCTTCTTCTTGATCTCGGCAGCCTCAGCTGCGTTCTGTGCGCGATAGACATGTCAGCTTGGGATTTCACTTTGGGATAGTTGCGCTCTCGATTGAGAGGGATTGGATTGGGTAGGCTGGGCACTCACGTATTCGTCGTCAGCCATGATTGCGGTATATCGTCGAGAGTTGTCGGCGATTGTGGTTGATGAGGAGGTCGTCGAGATGGGGCTACATCTTTTCGATATTCCGTGAGGCGGGCGGGCGCTAAGCGGGCACGGGCGGAGTTTGATTAGGGCAAGACCCCAGCGGAGCGGAAAGGCTTGGCGGGAATTTTGGTTGAGCCTCAATCGGACAATATGGGCGTCATGCAGAATGGTCAGTTCAGTAGGCAATCTCTTTGATATTGACAATTGGTATTTATAGATGGGTTTCCGGTGTGATTCAGTATCCAATTTTGCGGGTTAATAATGCATTCGCCGCGCTTCACAGTCATTTCAAATGTCAGGTATCAGCAACAAACACAGTATTTAGCAACGGCTTTGCATGGAGGAAGGACGTCTCATTGTATTGATGGATATCGTGTAAACAGAAGTTATCGAGTGACATGAAAATCAATCTCCAGGCCCTTGTTCCAAGTATATTCCCAGCTCAAGAGGAGATCGCACAGCTTGCACCATAACCCCAGCGCTACACTCTTCCCATGCTTAATCGAAGAGACCGAAGCCCATATCCTCATCGGACTCCTCCTTCTCCTCCTCCTTCTCCTCAGCGGGGGCGGCCTCAGCAGCACCGCCAGCGGCGGCGCCAGTGGCAGCAGCACCACCACCGCCACCAGATGGGACGGAGGCGAGCTTGGCAGCACCCTCAGAGATCAGCTGCAAAAATATGTTAGCATAGGTAGGTGGTAAATATGTCTCAATGATAGCGTACGGTGTTGATGTCCTTGTCCTTGAGCTCGGAGATGAGGGCGTCGAGACGGTCAGAGTCGGCCTCAATTCCAACGGAAGAGAGGACGGCCGAAACGTCAGCGGCGGAAGGGGACTGGTTGCCACCGAGGGCGAGGAGGAGGTATGCTGCGAGGTGCTTCATTTTGTCTGATGTCTGGAGATGAAGTCGTCAGCGAAACGATCGAGCGGCAAATGTGTGAGATTCCACACCAGGAAGAATTCTCTGATGATTCGGGTCGTTTGGATGTGAGTAAACTTACACTTGATGTCGAAAACAAGAGATTCAATCAATTTAACCGCAGGTTGGGCGGAGACTGAAACGTCGAGTTGGTTGATCTTTAAAAAATATCAGAAAGTTCGCGATCGGATTAGCATCTGTGTGAGTTGGCTCTAGCGCCGAGGCGGACCTTAGCGAGAATCGCGATTATTAGGGCTGCTATTCCCGATTAGGCAATAACCGACGTTCGCTCGGCGGGCTGTTGGATGTCTTACAGAGAGGCGTGCTACTGGTCATACTCGAGGATTAAGTGAACACGTCGCCATCAACCCTTATATGCCCCTCAAGGACATATATATGAAGTGCGACCTGTAGAGAAAGGCTTCTTCGATCTACTGCTCTATGCGTTGAGGTTGCTCGCCTCAAAACGTGCCTGATGCACCTGCAAAGAACAAAGCCAGTGACCGATTAGGTTTGACAAGCACTCTCAACTTCGCCGAAGTCGACAGTCAAGATGCCAGTATGTCATGCTATCCAACTTCAGAACGTTTTCACAACTACTCCCTCGATGGCAACTAACCTTGTGCAGATCGGAGATCTCCTCGCGCAAATAGGTGGCCACCAGCCAAAGCCGTCGACCACCTCTACGTTTGTCGCGCCGCTAAAGCGCAAAGCCGACGGCGACCTGCCACGTCACAGTGATAAATCCTCCCGAAATGAGTATCCCGCAACCGCTTCACCAAGTGTCGCTACGCCCGTGCAAAAGGCTTCGGGAACATCAGCGTCGATGTCCAGGCCTGTTCGCCCGCTCCCGGGTCGCTCGTCGGCCTCCACAACTCCTGTCACGAAGTCGACCAGTGCCCCACCAGGCTCTGCGCCCTCTCAAATCAGCAGAGCCAAAGTTCCAAAGAAAGGCTCGTTCGCCGAGATCATGGCTCGCGCAAAGGCGGCGCAAACGAACATGACTCAGGTTGGCAAGATCCAGCACAAGCGCATCGAGAAGGGTCCAACCAAACGGGAGCGCGAGGAGATGAAGTCGACCAGCAAGGGCGCAACCGGCAAGGCAAAAAGGAAAGGCCCAACACCGCCGCTTCGCGACGGCCGCAATTGCGCGAGAGAGAATGGGAGGGGATCCAGAACAACTTCGGCCGAAGCAGAGAAGAGACCGAAGAAGGCGGCTGCTGCTACCACAGGGTACACGGGTACAGCTCGGCCAAACCTAGCTGCAGCCAAGAAGCCACAGCCATCTTATGGAAGTTCTGGCAGAGATCGAGATCGCCCAAGCCCAGGGCCCTCGCGGCCTCAATATACATACGCCGCCAGCGAGGACGAGGAGGATTACGAATCTGACGTTTCGTCTGACATGGAAGCGGCCGCATACGAAGTCGACGAAGAGGAGGAGAGGGCTGCCAGATATGCTCGCAAGGAGGATGCCTTAGCTCTGGCCGAGGAGAACAGACTGAAGATGGAGAAGGAGGAGAAGCGGAAGAAATTGGCTGCCATGGCCAGAAATAGACGCTGATTGCATTACCTCACTGTTACCGAGCATAGTTGGAGTTTGCAGTTATTTTTTCCTTTGCGGTCTCGATTAGCGGTTGGCGCGTGGATGGGAGAGACGTCTGCTTTTGGCGTATTGTAGACATTGTCATCAATGGCGCGTTATTCAAAGAGCGGCAACATTTTATTGTATGGTGTGTTATGAATTCAAGAACTTATTAATTATTTGCTATGCTTTTCTGCAATTCGAACTGACTGTGAATGAGGTTTCATGCATGTTGCTACTTAGAGGCTCTGAAGATGGTACAAGTACCATCGCCGCTTTGAGTGTTTATAGCAACCGGACCAAAACAAAGGATTATGGTACATTAGTTACGGCAATGGAGTCGAAAAGATAAATTTTATAAACTTAAATAGCTAGCGTCGATTTCTATTCATACTTTAAATGGCAACAGTAAGTTCAACAATAGAACCTCAGAATAAACTTTGATATGCATTTTGGTGCTGTTAAACTCTGTGAGAACAATGTGAATTGGACTTAACACATCACAGCAGCCTGTGTACTGTGATGATGAACGGTCAACCTGCCAAGATCGAGACTCGCAACAAAGGAATGGAATATGAGATCTACGTGGCTGTGCAAGATTGGTAGCAGTAGGTACAAAATATAAACAAGATCACAATAAACATTCACGAGGCAGTTACTAAGACATGCATTCATGAAGACATTTCTCATTGATTCCTTTCCTTTATCTCGGGCGCCTATTCAGTTCCTTGTTCAGATGCTCACAAACGGCTCAAGGCCAGGAGCTTGAAAGCTTGTGCACTACATAACAGCGCAGATGCTCTCATCATCCTCCTCCTCTACATCATCCTCAGGAAAATCACTCTTGGGGACCTTGCAGACCTTGCAGAAGCAGCTGTAGCCAAACAGCTTTGTGCACTTAGCAGCCTTTTCGCCATGGCGAATAGGACCACAGTGCATGTCATTGTGGTAGCTGATGGTGAGCTCCTCATCTCTCTTCACGTCCTTCGTGGTGACCAGGAACATCATGAATGGAGGTGCCTCGTTGATGTCCACGATGCAGTTGGGGTCAGCCGAGTGGTTGAGACGCGAGGCATCCTGGTACATTCCGTACAGGGGCTCACGGACGTCAATGCACTCAGCATCATCACTGATCTTGAAGCGGTTGGTGACATACTGTCTCAAGATAAGATTCTTGAAACTGGAGTTCTGGTCTTTGATGTCGACGTAATGGAGATGCTTTGGGAGTTTGAACGTCTTGTTGGCAATCATCTTCTTGATGTTGAGGCGGCTGTTGTGTGTGAACAATCGAGTAGAGAAGTCCTGGGCTTGTCTCATTCTGGCAAAGGCTTCATTTTCTGGGAATGGAAGCATCAAGACTCGGGCAATGACCTGATCGAATCCTTCCATGTCGTTGGCACTCGTGTAGAAAATCGGAGTCTCAGCAATGATGACAGAGTTGACTGGCAGATCCATGGCAGCAACAACCTTGTATTGGTTGTTCTCCATCATCTTGATTCTGTAGCGGATACGATAGCGCTGATCGACCCTAATATTGACTGTAAAGTAGTTAGCACATGCAGTTGCAAGTAGCAATAATATGAAGCACATACAAGGGAGGTTGTCCACAAGCGCCGTCAGGTCTATGTCGCGTGGGTCCATAACGTCTCCAAGAGTCGGGTCAGGACGGGGAATCGCCTTAGGCTCCTCTTCACCTTTGGCCTCCTTTTCAAGCCTAGCCATCTCACGAAGTTGGTCATGATAATCGCTAGGAACGCGTGGCAAATTCTAAGCACCAGGGGTTAATTTATGCATAATGAATATTCTTTGGGTGACCTACGGCGACTTCCTGGTTAATGGGGCGAATGGGGCTGGGCTGAATGGCGCCGGGGCGATGAAGGCCCAGCTTTTCAGTGAATTTCACACCCATGATCAACCAAGAGGTTATTCAAGGAAGGTGTGTGAGCTACTCATCAGAGTTAATAAGGGGCCAATGTGCTGGTCTCGATCTTACTCACCTTATGCTCTAAGAACGGTGGTAGACTTGTGATATGGAAGGGTGATAGCTTGATGCTATTAAGGGGCACCAGCAATGGTGCTGAGAGTGGATGTGTTGACAAAAGAAAAGGGTAAGAAGAGAAGAAGATCAGAAAGAAAACAATAAGGTAAATAAGTGAAATTGGCCAGCGTGCGACGTGCGCGCGTCATACCCCGTCCCCATGACCGCCAGGCGCTACCCCATCGGATACACGAAATAGTTGCACTATTGCAACGGCTAGACTCTTCCTCTATGCCCATCAAACAGAATCATAGACACCCCATGGGGCAGACTAGTCTTTCAATGCTTTATGGATGCACTGAGGCAAGATATCAGCGTTGATAAACCCCCTTGATCATATGCAACCGCTGACATAGCCAACTAGGCAAGCAAACAGTCTCAACTCTGCCCAGGCCTCTTGAAGAGACAAGTAGAACATCTGTGATATTCAGGGGGTGCCAAAGATGATAGAGGCATCAACCCTTTATGCATCCGATCAACGGCTTCAAAGGATGCTGACACAAAGAAAACTTCCATGAACATACCTGTTGCAACTCTGATGCCAACGGGCAATAGCCAAGTGTATCCAAGAAAAGAGTCAAGCCTACCTTTTGACACCTCGACAGACGATTTGGCCCCTGTGCAATCTCATGGAAGATAGCCTAGATGTTAGGACACAAATAATGGCGGCATCATATGGTAAGGGGTATTCTATTTCTTCTATGTCACCGACTTCAGGCCTGCCTTGCGAGGACCTTCTTCTCCTCAGCCGCATTGTTCAACTGCTCATAATGGGCAACAAGCTTCTCGATATCCCTTGGGCCCTGGCCAGCGATGACGTTATGTGGAGACCCTGTGTTGAAGGTTCTGGGCAGATGTTAGTAACAGCGTCCGTCTGTATTCGAGTATGCACTTACTCAGGGAACCGGAGGTTGACGTGCTCTGTCTTCCTGTCGCTTTGGAAGAGGTTACGATCGAATGCAGCCTGCTCAATTGCTGCAGTGTGGAGCTTGTTTCTGGCAGCAAATGTATCCTGGAGGTGGGAGTAGCTGTTGATGAGCCTCTCGAGAGCCGGCTTGCTCCCATCAGCAGAGGGCTGAGCCAGGGAGTAGACGATGTAGACGGCGGGAATAGCAGCGAGTGTCATATAGACGGAGAGCTGCAGCATTGTCAGTGGTGTTCAGGTTCTTCAGTTGGCCATTGCTCACTCCTAGAGGCTCATCCTTTGGAGCTGCATGCCCGTGGCCTGCTTCATGGGCGGTCCGGGAGGTCGATGAGGAGAATTGGGCGGTTGAACGGGCTGTTCTAATGCCTCTGGCAGATTGAACAGCCTGACGCCGAAGGACGAACATGTTTAGGATACGAATTGGTCCTCAATGGCAGACTCGGAGTGTTTTCCTTGAGGATCAATATCAAGTGTCGTCGGCTATGGGCGCTACCACGCAACAAACGTGCCGCTTTTAGCGCGACTGGACAAGACTCGGTCACGTGAGGAAACAATCGAGGATGAGTCGTCGATTAGTCGTTTGATTAGTCGTTAGCGACGGCGATAGGGGGGGTAATGCATCGGAGTCGGCACAGAGGTTTTTCCGGAGGCTTATCGATAGCTCCCTCACACTATCGTTGCCCTTATCATTAACGGGATGTGGCCAAATCCAACAATTTATGGACACTTGTCCTCACCTTGAAAACCATACAATAATGATTACTTATGCGGGTCAACTATGAGTTTCTACTATGAGTTTCTACCATGATCTAAATGACAACAACGACGCAAGTGATAGAGAGCCCTCAGACGTAGAATACAACGAGGATCTTGACGACGCCGAATCTCTGGCCTCACTTGCAAGCAGCAACCAAGAACATACTATAGAACAAGTCCTAGCTGAGAATACTCGGACAGATTGGGAGTCGAATTTACAAGGAGGCACGCTTTATCGCTGGGTTCTCATCAAGTGGACAAACAGCCCAGTACTGGAATCAAGCTGGGAACACTACTCCATCCTCGACGATTATCCCACTGTTCGCGAGGACTGGGAAGTTGAACTGAAGCGGCAAACGGACGGCAAATCAGTTCCTTTCGACCTGGTAGAGTTCAATTTAAAACTTACGGAACAAGAAGTTCTCAGGCGCCAACGACGAAAGCTGCGCCGTTTTCGAAGGCACATCGAGCATATCTTATCAGTCCTCGAGACAGACTAAGACCCGGTTTTCATAGCGATGAGGGCCTTAATGCAGCGATATCTCTCTGGCGGCCTTTTCCTCGGTCTTGCCGTCGCTACTTCACCGGCGGACCCTTCGTCTTCCCCGAACAGCGATTTAATATGCCACACGAGCAACCCCGCGGAATGCTACCCCCGACTTTTCGAACCGACGGAGGACTTTCAGGTTATACATGACGACCAGGACATCCCGCCTGGGCTGCATGTCCGCATGGATATCTACTCGGGCTTAAAACAGGCTAGGCTTAATATCCCGATGGAAGGCGAGGATGACAATTCTGGTATCCCAATAGAGCAGGCCATGGTTATTGTCGACCAACCAGAGCAAGATGTGGCAGAAGAGAGGGAGGAGCGCGTTTCTCTCCGGGATAAATCGGGCAAGAAGCCACCCGCATACCAAGCTGCGGGCAAAATATTACCACCGAGAGAACCAGATGGTGGCGTTTCGGAAGCAGAGGAGTTCCAGAGAGCCGTGGCCATCCTGGGCAGTGACCAGGCCGACAACTATACCATGTCGGTCTCGGCTCTAACCACTCTCCTTGACCTGTCTCATGACATCTACTACGGCGTGGAGCTCATGAAAAACAGCGCGGTAATTCGGCAACTCACGTTCTGCCTCGACGGAGACTTATCAGATGCCTCCACTTCCGCCTCCCGCCGTCGCCTCGCAGCTGGTGTCATTTCCAACTCCATCCAGAACAACCCAACTGCATTGGAAGAGGCACAGAAGTCGTGGCGCTCCTACCTCCCGTATCCGCATAGCGCAGACTCTTCGAGCGCCCTCCAGCAATACGCTGCGGATCAGGAGTTTCTCTCGAGGATAATACTCACACTACGCTCGGAAACCGATCCTGGTGTCGCTAAGGCTAAGGTAAACGCGCTCAGCGGGCTGGTCAAGAGCCCAGAGCTACGTGATGCGCTGCTTCATCTTGAAGGGCTGGAGGCGCCGCTTGAGTTGTTTGCCAGGGCGGGTGAGGAGTGGGATGTTGTGCGGAAGAAGGTCGCGGAGTTCGTGACGGATAACTTCCTTGATGAGGACATGGGAGCCGAGATTGGGAAGTGGCCGACGAAGCCACAGAGGATGGATTATGCGTGTGCGTTTAGGCCAGCAGAAGCAGCCGTGGCTGCGGGTACGGTTGGAGATGAGTGCTGGGTGTACCATGTGATGAATTATGTGCTTGAGAAAGAGGAGGCAGGAGAAGACGACGGATGGAGCAAGCCCTTCTTGCAAATGTTGAGGGGGGAGACGGAGAAGCTGGGGAAGTTTGTACATCAAGAATTGTAAGCATGGGAAACCGGTGCAGAGCTTGGAGCTGAGAATCAGCGTATATGATACGGCGGCATTGGGATTGGAGTACGGGTTCGACGAAACAGTCCATAGATTTATATACAAGATAATGATAATGCTCTCTCGCTAAGGCAGTCAATATGGCCACGTTTTAAGTGATCTCCTTCATGTCGGGTTTGCAGGGGATGGCGCCGCAAGAATAAAGCACCATAATGATGGTGTAAACTCTAACACAGTCATGCAAACTTTTATAGAAGGGGAGGAACGAATTTGACCTGCGGTCTTTCGTCGTCGGCAAGGTAAGCGTCTACGGTGTCTTGGGCCAACGGCTAGAAGTTCGGTGACGCCCACCAACGGCAAGAAAAGGAGAGAGGTGACAACACCGCAGTGACAACGATAGTCGCATGGTAACAACACCGAGCATCAAGAAAAAGCTTCTCGGTAGTAGAGCCCTACTTGTTGAAAGAAGTTCGGGCCTTGTATTTTTCTCGCCAAACTTCTCGTAATCATTGCATTTAGAATTGTAACGAGTACATTTACTATAACGATGATTACTAGCAACAACGATACAAGATCATTTATTATAAAGACAGCTAGAACATAGCGACATTAGGTTGCTGTTCTTTTTGATATACAGTTCTCACGCGACAATCAAACCATTACATAAGCCAAACGTCCAATGTGCCCTAAATGCCCTCATTTGCCCTTTTGACCACTAATTCCCTTTCTATACGCTCTAAAGAACAAAGCGTAACTGCCAGCTCCCTTATGCTACTATTCCTAGTGTCTATAAAGTCAATTAGAACTTAGAGGGCTTGTGCCTACGTAGAATGAACCACTAGCAGTCTAAGTGTAATGGTGAGTGCACCAGATGTGAGAATCTAGCCACCCAAGGGAAGGGATGATTTTACTAAGACAACACACTGTCTTAGGAAAAAGAGCCAAAGGGTCGTAGCTTAGACTATTCCACAACAAAGCAATCAAGTGTATGATGTAGTGGAGTGGTTTAGACAAGTTGTACAAATGTTGAGTCTGAGAACTCAGGGATAAGTCAGAGGTTAGCACCTCACTGACTTTTCAGAAACAAGGAGTAACAAGATCAATGCTTGGAAGCTTGGAAAAGATGTGGAAGTATGTGATAGTCGATTTACTGTATTGTCTGCTTGCCCTTTCTTAAGGAAAGGGCAATCCTATTTATGCTAAAGGAGTGTAGTTCTCTCATTTTCCAAGACTGTAAGGATGCCTTCTCGTCTCTCATTCTAGGGAGTAGACTCCGGGTAGCCGCGGGGTCACGTGTGATCATTTGGGTGGGCTAACTGAGTCGGAACCGAGTCGGATGGGTTTCGGATACTTGAGAAAATCGACTGACGGGGTTCCCCATCATCTTTTTTGTATCCTTCATAGTAGACCTATAGGATAGCATCCGTTTAGCCTCCGACTCGCACTCTCATATGCTTTTATTGTGAGCTGGGTGCCCTGTGTCCTTACAAAGACTTTCCATGACTAACCAGTGTAAGGATGCCTTCTCGTCTCTCATTCTAGGGAGTAGACTCCGGGTAGCCGCGGGGTCATGTGTGATCATTTGGGTGGCCTAACCGAGTCGGAACCGAGTCGGATGGGTTTCGGATACTTGAGAAAATCGACTGACGGGGTTCCCCATCATCTTTTTTGTATCCTTCATAGTAGACCTATAGGATAGCATCCGTTTAGCCTCCGACTCGCACTCTCATATGCTATTACTGTGAGCTGGGTGCCCTGTGTCCTTACATTATACAAAAAAGATCACGCCTGCCGGGGACGGCTGTACTTAAATAATATCCCACACTGGAACGACTCAGGAGAACTACCGTTACACCATCGACTGCGACTCGGTGATGTTTCGGAGGAGAGACCTGACGACTTCAAATAGCCGTGATTCCAGAGATCTCACGGACAGCCAGTGGATCAGGGTTTGATTCTTCAGAACAAGCTGGTAAAGTCGCCGACGCGTTGGCGCAAAATAGGACACGAGATCCTTAAGAACCCCCTTATAGCACAGAGGAAATTGTGGACAAGAGTGTTGATAGCTACGAGCTACCGGAAGTCAAGCTCTTTCGTATCGGTACCGATACACACCCGAGGCAATATGTCGAAAAAGCCGACATCAAACATACCCCAAGACAACGACGGTCAACTGCCCAGAATGACTACCAGACAAACCACCGCTGCAGCTACGACCGCTGTGCCATCCGAAGACATCCCGAGTCGAATGGCCTACCTCGAAGCACAGATACAGGAGGTCAAGGATCTACTAGTTATCCTGTCGGCATCCCAGACCAGAATCCCGTCCACACCGCCGGTGGACGCCCCCATACCCACAGTAGAAGTTACGGAGCAACGAACGCCTCGTACACGAAACACCCCCGAGACAGTTCAATTGCCACCTCTTCGGAACACTCGTTCTCCCTCAATTCCAGGGTCATCACAAATGCACACCGAGGACCCTCCGAATCGCTATAAGAAATCAACCATCTCTGAGAAAATCCTTCCTCTCAGCGATGGGGTAGAACATACCTTCTTACAATGGAGCGCTTCGATTCGGGATCGACTCGTAGTCAATGAGGACCACTACCTTACCGACGTCTCGAGAAGAGCGTTGATATGGGGAACTACGACCGGCCTACCTAGAGCCCCAATACCTGTCCGCTACGCATGGGTTCCGCAGTGCTGAGGAGATGATGGATCTACTAGGTTCATACTACCTCACAGGCAACGAGACGGAACAGGCCAGGAACCTCTTCGACGACCTGCAAATGGGAGAGAAAGGGCATGCTAGCGAAACCTTCCCAGAGCTCAAGGCTCG